AGCATCTTGCCAGGTATGGCCATCTAAGCCCACCTATTCAGAAGGCTGAGGCAGGAGGATTGGGAATTAAGGGCCACCTTGAGCTCCCACCAGACACCGTGTCAAAATCAAAAAGGAAAAAATTAGCAGCTTAGTTACACTTGGAGACACTCAGGAAGGGAGAACTGTATAGACTCCTAGAAGACAAGTCAAGGCTGGTAAAGTGAAGGAGGGAAGAGGATTGGGAGATGGAGGACTGGAAGAACACGGAAGGCCGAGGAGCACCCACAAAGGTTGCAGGGCAACAGAGCACTCAGTGTTCTCAAGGCCCCAAGCAGCTGAATATGAATAAAGCCTGTGAGTTGATGTGAGGGATTCTGAGACTCACAGGTGGAGGAAGAAATGAAGTGTATTATAAATTTGTCCTTTCCAAACCTTCACGTGTATAAGAATTGCCAGGGAACTTTTTTTTTTGGTTTTTCCAGACAGGGTTTCTCTGTGTAGCTTTGAGCCTTTCCTGGAACTCACTTGGTAGCCCAGGCTGGCCTCGAACTCACAAAGATCCGCTTGCCTCTGCCTCCCGAGTGCTGGGATTAAAGGCATGCACCACCACCGCCCGGCTCGCCAGAGAACTCTGATCTCACCATTTGGGAAGGACCCGATACTCCGTATTCCTACCAAGTACTCTTGTGGTATTGAGGCTCCATGCTGATGTTTTAAGAAGGCTGTAAATCATGTTAACAAGTTGGGGTTTATTTTAAACATTCAGGCAATGGGAAAATCACTAAATGGACTGTAAAGAAAGAAGAAGATATATTATAATGCTAGAAAAAGCATTCTGAGTTAGGTGATGGTGGTGCATACCTATAAGCCCAGAATTTGGGAGGCTGAAGCAAGGGGACAAGGAATTCAAGGTCAGCTGGGGGCTACACTGGGAACATCTGCCTCAAGACAGCAACTAAGAACACTAGCTGTCATGCAGAGAATGGGTACCACAAGACTCCAAATTCAAAGAGCAGGAACACAAGAACTTTAGTCCAAGTGAAAGATAACAATGGTCTACACCAACGGTTCTCAACCCCCACAGGGGTCAAATATCAGATGTTTGCATTATGATTCATAACAGTAGCAAATCAGAGTTATGAAGTAGCAACGAAATCATTCTATGGGTTGAAATAAGTTGCTCATCTCTAACCTAAAATGCAGTTAAAGGGGAAAATGGCTTTTGTTTTTCTTGAACACTCCTCACAAATATTTGAAAAATGAGCAGCTACAGTAGAAACTCAATCTAACCTTGTGGATTTCTATAAGGAACCTTCCAGCCTATACCTACAATCCATCCACCACCACCACCCCACACAAAAATAAATAAAAAATAATAATAAAAAGAGCTTCAAGTTTTGAATTGGCTTCAATGACTGTCGGTAACCCCAGACTCCCAGAAACAAACATATAACGTATTCAGACTACTAGACAGTGGGACTTTAGCTTTTCCTAAATTTTTTCTTTGTATATTTACAAATTAAATTACTCAACATTTTTTATGCTTTCAACTAAGTAAGCATATAGGAAAATGATGTTCACATTTACAAATTTCAACTCTGGTTGCCGTTTTCTCAGGCTCAGGCTGAAAGAAGATATGAATCTGGACTGTGAAACTTCATTGTTGTGTGACCTTGGCAACATGGCTTATGAAAATGTCTGTGAACTTGCTACTTCATGAATAAAAAGGGGAAACAATCTTATACAAAATACCTGTGTAGTATCGAGAACGAGAAGGTACTGTGCAATACAGCTAGGAGAGATACAGTATGGCAGTCTCTGCCTTCCCCTGATATTTCATGGACACAGACTCAAGAGTGGTACCAAGAATCCAAAGTTGTGTGTCTATAAGAGGAACGCTCAGAAAATTCTGAGGTCATGCCTACTAGCATCTGCATTTGTAACTTTGAAAGGTAATAGTACCTACTGACCTAGCTATAACAGCCCCAAGAACACTTCCAGTTTCTAATTCTTAAGAGGAACATTAGCAGGCTCCCTAGGTATAGGAAGAGATGTGTAGGATGCTTGGATACTTTCTGAGTTTCTTACATCTTATGGAGACATAAATTAGGGAGCAAAACAAATGAAGTTGATGCTGGAGTCTCGTCTGTTCCCATAGGTGTCTTAGGTAAAAGGGGACACTTTTCCTAATTGAAAAGTAACACAAAGTCAGGACCGCCAGTCCACATGGTCATGGGGGTTAACTTCATACAGACCTGTGCAAGTTATGTCACCAACGGTTACTCTGAAGGTGAAAGTGGGCACGTGTACTTGCACATCGGATCTTTCACATTCGTAAACAGGTATGTTCTTGGTCTTCATGCCGTATTCGTGCAATACCTGAATCGGTGTTTTCCCAGGCTTGGCCGTTATCATCTTGCCCAAACTGCAAAAACCAGAAAAATGTATGCTTTACAGGTCAAAGCTGAAAGGGAAGCAAAAGCATCCCCTTGTCAGTTTTGACAGCCACAAATAGTGACAAAAAAGCTCCCCAGCAGCCAGGGTCAGTGGCAAGGCCTGGGCGCACCTGTCTCTGAGCGCTGCAGCCCATAGCTAAGGGTAGAGAGGTCTGTAGAGAGAGAACTTGAACGCAGTGGGAGGGATGCGGAAGGAAACCGGGTGGGCTCGGGAGCTGCAGGCTAGATCAAACCTACACCCGGGTCCGTGCACCTTTGGTCATATCCTCCAGATCCGATAGTTGCCGGAGGGGCGGGGCGCGCGGCAGATCCCGGGCCCGGAAGGCGGGCCCAGTGCTGTGCCTGGGGAAGGAGGGGGCTTTACCCAGAATGCAGCCCGACAGCTGGCTCCCCGCCCCTGCCCCACTGCCCACCCGTCTTGGGCCTGCGGCCTCGACAGCCCGGCGCTGACCTGAAGGTCCCGCTGTCCTCGCGCTCCAGCGGCGGGGCCTCGGCGTGATGCCTGCTGTGGGACATGGCGAGAAGGGACCGCTGGGCACAGAGATCGAGAGTAGTGTGGGTCTGGGTCCTCCCTCTCCACGTCGGCCAGATCCCGAGAGGAGCTTGCCTGCACTGCTGCCAGGCTCCCCCTTGGATAGCTGCCTGCCTCTCTCCAGACGAGGGACAGGCGGAGAGGCAGGGAGAGGCGGGGCCACGGCGCGGAAGAGCCGGCCACACCCCCTCTCCGCCGGGCCTCTCGGCCCCGCCCCTCTCTGCCATGCTCCGCCCCTCGCTGTTCCCGGTTTCCCCCTACGCCACCGCGCTCGGCCCCTTCCCGGTTCCCCTTGGGCGGGTCCCTGCTCTTCCCAGCTATGGCCCGCGCCCTGGTTGGGTTCCCGGAGCTTCTCAGTGCCCGGCCCCGCCCCTCCGGCGGCCAGGTCCCGCCCTCTCTGCCAGTCCAGGCTCTTCCCAGCTTCCAATGCTTCGGAGAGCCGGGCCCCGCCCCTCATCCGCTAGGCCCCACCTCCATGCCAGTCTGGGCTCTTCCCAGTTCCTGCCTGCGCCCCGCTTCGGTTCCCTGGGTTTCCCCTCCCGCCTTTAGTGGCGCAGAGGCTCAGTTCTTTGTCCTTAGAGGGAGGCCCTTTCCGGTGAGAAAGCTTGTAGTAGGCCGAGAGCCAGCATGTTTGAAGAGGAAGGAAAAAAGATTAAGGGTTGGGCTACTTTAAAATTCCGAATGCAAAATTGCTAAAAAAAATTCGGATCTTGGCCCCAAAACTTGAGACCCCAGAGTGTCGGCTAAAGGGGCTGCAGGCAATCCCGGGTAGGGCTGGCTTAAGAGTACTGGATCCCTGGAAACTTCTGCCTGGCCGGCTCCTATGGCTTGCAGGCTTTAGGACAATACTTCTCAACATTCTAAAGCTGCGACCCTTTAATACAGTTCTTCATGTTGTGCTGACCTCCAACCATAAAATTATTTCGTTGCTACTTCATAACTATAATTTTGCTACTGTTATGAATTGTAATGTAAATATCTGATATGCAACCCCCAAAAGGGTTGTGACCCTGAGAACCGCTGCTTTAGGAGATTGCAGCATCCACAACGACATCAGGGAGGTAGGGGGCACAGCAAGGATATTTAGACCAGTTTCCAGGATCGCTCTTCCCGCCCCTGCTGACTTGTGCAGTGGGGAGTGACGACATTAGTCTGGGATGCTCCACTTTCAGTGTGTTGTGGGTGTGTCAGACAGGAGTCTTAGAGATCTCTGAACTATGCACAGTGGCTCCTGTGCTTACTTGATGCGCTAGAACTGAATTCTAGAAATGTTCTCACGAAGAGACTGCTAAAAGTTATTTCTAAAAATAAAATGTTTAGATCGGTGTACAAGAACAGTTGGTTTTATGATGGAAATTTGTTTTGGGTTGCATGTAAGCCCAAATACTTGGAAGCAAGTAAAAATATCCAGAATCAAATCAAATTGAATTCTCCTTGGGGCTTAGGTTAAGCCTATTCTCTCTTTCTTTATTTCCGCATAAGGAGTGTAGGTTACTACCCAATAATGCTATTATACTTACGTGTTAATGAGTATTGTGTTGTAAGGACCACTTTCAAAATATGTCAACCACTTATGGCCATTCAATATCTCAGTATTGGAGTATTTCTAGAATTTAATTTAAATGGATCCACAAAACTCCTTGAAAATAAGCCAAAACTTTATACAACTATTTTTATAGGTTGAGTGATTGGGACAGTAATTAGCAACAAAAGGGAGGTAAATTCAGCAGAACTCTATCAGGTGAATGTAGTTTGAGCCATCCCTTTCAAAGTAAGAAACTTCCCTGGTAATTTTTAATGTGTAATATAATTTGTAACTAAAAGCTGTTCGTGCCGGGCAGTGGTGACGCACGCCTTTAATCCCAGTACTCGGGAGGCAGAGCCAGGCGGATCTCTGTGAGTTCGAGGCCAGCCTGGGCTACCAAGTGAGTTCCAGGAAAGGTGCAAAGCTACACAGAGAAACCCTGTCTCGAAAAACCAAAAAAAAAAAAAAGCTGTTCGTATTCTACAGAGAGCTGCTTACGATCGTTCCTCTGTATTCTGTGAATTGGTATTTGATATTATACACATAGTTTTATGAGCATACAAAATCCCAGATGAGAGAAATGCTCATGTAATGATCTGTATACTATGAGGATTCAAAAAGTGCTTTTCTGTTGCCAAAATTCACCTGTTGGACTTGTGAAGGAATTCCTCTTGGATGATGTCCACTGTAGATCGTATCCAGGGCTAACGTCAGGGCCCAGCTGCACCGTTCCCCACAGGACTTAAGGCTTCCTTTCAAACTGGCTCATTGCTGTGGCAGAGCACTCTCAACCGTGGTCACCTCAAGGACGTGGGTAGTATGTTTGAATTAGTTTTTTTGTGTATATTTTAGTTCTGTAAACCGCCATTCCCAGTTAGACTTGCTTTTAGCATATCATTTTTCACTGCCATCTATTATTTATTACCTGAGCTCATGAAGGGAGGCAGTGTTGTGAATTGCACACGGGTACCTGGTGAGAACATGCTTTCTAGTTCTAACCTGCGTAATTGGATTTAACATCCAACAAGGCTTCATTTAGGGGTCTGATTTTCTTCTTCAGAAAATGGGTTCGTTGCCTGAGGGTCGCAGTCGATGACGTCTTGAATTTAATATGTTTGCCGCTGCTACCAAGAGCTTTGTTAAGCAAGTTGGAGATGGAGGGAGATTAGTGCCTGTTCCAAGCCTCAGTGAAGCTGACAAATACCAACCCCTGAGTCTGGTGGTCAAAAAGAAGCGCTGTTTTCTGTTTCCTAGATACAAATTTACCTCAACACCTTTTACACTTAAAGATATTCTCCTAGGAGACAGAGACATTTCAGCTGGTAAGTTTAAATGTTTGGGAGTGACTCTCCATGGGGCTATAGCACTAATAACCTAAGGGAGGTTGTGTGGATTAATTATATTAATAATACACATTTTATGAATAAGATCAACCTTCATGTGGTAGTAGCGTCAAGATGAGCAATGCTTAAGTTTTTATAGCTTCAAATCTCTTATTGCTTAATTTAAAAATCAATTTTAAGTTCTTTTTAACTAAATAGACCAAGAAAATGATGTCTTTTTGTCTTGTATAATATAGGGTATTAATTGGTTTTACCCATGTCACATGGTCAATAAATGAAAGTAATTATTTTACAGTTTATTGCAATAAATAAACCCAATTTTTTTAAAAATGTGGGTACTGGGGGATTAAATTCAGATTCTCACGTTTACAAGCATGCAATTTACCAGCTGAGCCATCTCCCAACCTTGAAATGTGTTTTTAAAACTAGATTATAAAATAGGCATGATGGCTAGTCATTGGTTAAGGACACTTTTTTTCTTTCAACTACCCAATGGATCTTGATTGATGTATATGTATTCTGTTGTCTGAACAGAGAATTTGAGTTTGTTTTAAGTATTCTGTCATTTTTTGAAGTAAAATTGCCTGAAATGCTACTTTTCATGTATTTTAAATCCTGTCTAATTTGGGCGAAAGAATTTTCAGTCATGTTAACGTGGTAATATATAAAGTCTATGTAAGATGAATTTGAGACGTTTAAAAATATTAAGTTCCTTCTCCTAAGGTATTTCATCTTATCAGTTACTGAATTATGAAGATGAGTCAGATGTTTCCCTCTATGGAAGGCGAACCAACCATATTGTGAATGATGTTGGGATTAATGTTACGGGATCTGATTCCATCGCGGTCAAAGCTTCATTTGGTGTGGTAACCAAACATGAAGTGGAAGTCTCAACATTACTCAAGGAAATTACTGCACGGTCAGTACAAAGATCCTGATATACTGCAGTATTTTCATTAAATGATTTAACTGTATCAACTCCATTACAAAGAATGCTTAAAACATTGGGGTTATATTTTACAGGTTAATTTATGTTTTTTCTTCATTTGAAAGACTACATATTGACAGCCAATTAGAACCCCAACCCAATCAAAAATCATTTGATATACATTTTCAGTTGTTTCACAAAACATCATTGTGGTTCTGCACAATTTGCTAAATTATTACATTGAAATGATATGAGCTGTTCTTCCAACAGACTCTCAACAGACAGAATAGAGCATTCTACAGAACCAGGAGATTCAGGTGTGGTCGTACAGGCCAGTAATCCCACATACTTCGGAGAGTGAGATAGGAGACGCACAAGTTCAAAGCCTGTTTGGGCTACATAGTGAGTTCAAGTCCATCTTGGACAAATTATTGAGCATCTATCTAAATGAAGAGTGGGTGGGTAGCTGGGAGGTGGCTCAGTGATAGAGCACATGCCTGGCATGCACAAGGCCCTGGGTTCAGTCCCCAGTTCTACAAAACTAAAGGCATGCCTCCACTCTTTAAAACAAGAAAACCCATTGAAGGGAGCAGCAAATTAATCAAGTGATTTATATTTTCTGATTTGCATTGTGCCTGCCTTGATTCACACATAGTTAAGATGTACCACAAATAACACAACAGGTACGTTCAATTCTGTGTAATCACATGTTAAAGCATCTTGTGCATGTATCTTTTTTATTTTATTCTAGAAAAATTAACTTTGACCACAGTTTGATCCGCCAATCAAGGAGCAGCAGGAAGGCTGTGCTGTGCGTGGTCATGGAGAGCATCAGAACCACACGACAGTGCTCCCTGTCTGTGCATGCTGGGATTCGAGGGGAAGCCATGCGGGTAAGACACACTCGGGGCTTCACTAGCTAACTCCAGTTACTATGGAGTTTTTAAAAAGTTGCTCTTCATGGGTTTGTGCCTTTCATCAAGGGCAGAGAATAAAGAGCCTCAGCTGTGTAGGCTTCACTTCAGAGTGGTTATGCTTCAGAATAAGAAGCCCACCCAAGACAACTTGGGTTCTAAATGTGTGTAATAAAATACACACAAATCACTAATCCTTGTGGATTTATGTGTATACTGGAGTCCCTCCAATTAAATAGTACTTAAGTGTTGTATTAAGAACAAAAAGTAGCCAACGGCTGTAGCACACACCTTTAATCCCAGCACTCGGGAGGCAGAGCCAGGCAGATCTCTGTGAGTTTGAAGCCAGCCTGGGCTACAGAGTGAGTTCCAGGAAAGGCTCCAAAGCTACACAGAGAAAACCTGTCTCAAAACACAAAACAAAAACAAAAAGAACAAAAAGTAAGTTTGACTGTTGTATTCCTTGATTTTATTTTTAAGTAAAGCAATTCATACTGAAATTTTAAAAGTTGAGTTTTTAACTATTTTTTGGCATTTATTTTTTTATTTTGTGCTCTCTGTGTGTATGCAAGTGCCACGGTGCACATGGTGAAATCAGAGGACAAATTGTGGGACTCAGTTTTCTCCTTCCATATGTGTGTCACAGTGAGCAAGCCCAGGTGGTCAGGCACTGTGGCAAGTGCCTTTATCTGCTGAGCCATATCACCAGCCCTCAATTTATTTTATATGAAAATAGTTTTTCTAATTAACATTATCAGTAGCTAAATATGCTTCCTTTTAAAAATTAGAAATTAGGGGGCTGGAGATATGGCTCAGAGGTTAAGAGCACTGACTGCTCTTTCAGAAGCCCTAAGTTCAATTCCCAGCAACCACACAATGGCTCACAGCCATCCATAATGAGATCTGGTCCTCTCTTCTGGCCTGCAGGCAAACATGCAGGCAGAACACTGTGTGCATAATAAATAATTAAATCTTTAAAAAAATTAGAAATTAGCCGGGCGGTGGTGGCGCACGCCTTTAATCCCAGCACTCGGGAGGCAGAGCCAGGCGGATCTCTGTGAGTTCGAGGCCAGCCTGGGCTACCAAGTGAGTCCCAGGAAAGGCGCAAAGCTACACAGAGAAACCCTGTCTCGAAAAACCAAAAAAAAAAAAAAAAAAAAAAATTAGAAATTAGAAAACTGGGGCTAGAGAGATAACTAGTGAAGAGAACTGGCTTCTCTTTAAGAGCATCCAGATTTGGTTCCCAGCACCCTCATGGTGTCTCACATGTGGCTGTAACTCCAGTTCCAGGGGATCTGATGCCTTCTTCTGGCCTCCGCAGGCACTGCACATACATGGTGCACATACATACCTACATATACACATCAAATAAAAATAAATAAACCTTTAGAAAAATTTAAAAAATAGAAAATTATTTATATTGTCACCAACCAGTGACACCTAGTAATGATCTGATAGGATCAAGGCCAATTTTTAGGTGACATTTTATTCTATAGAAAAGAAAATGAAATTGTGATATTTGTAGGAAAATGGAGGGAACTGAAAATTGTCAAGTGAAATAAGCCAGACTCAGAAAGACAAATATTGCATATTTTCTCTTATATATAGAATCAAGCTTTACGCTTATATATGTGTGTGCATGTGTTTGCATACAGGTCATGAAACCTGAAAGAAGACCATGAAAGGGGAGGAAGAGATTGGGGGGAGGAGGGAAAGGAGGGATACATGTGATTTGAAAGTGGAAGGGAGGAATACGTGAGGGATGGAGACTAGTGTGAAGGTGGAAAGGGAGGGCAAGGCAAAGTGCATACACACACACACACACACACACACACACACACACACACCCCATTATGAAACCTGTGAGTTTGTATACTAATTTAATTTCTAAAATGGGATGAGGGATGGCTCTGTCCATACAGGGCTTGCTGTGAAAGCATGGGGATCTGAACCTGACCCCTAGCACAGCAACTGGATAAAAGCTAAGTATGACAGTGTGAATCTATGATTCCAGCACAAGGGAGGCGGCAGAGAGAGGAGCATCTCTGGGACTGGCCAGCCTTCTAATAGTCTTATCCAGTCAGTGAGCTCCATGTTCAGTGGGCGACTCAAAAAAAAAAAAAATAAAATAAGATGGAGAGCTATAAAGGAAGATACCCAAAGTTGACCTCTGGCTTCCACATACATCATATCCATGTGGTCATGTACCCCCATGCATGTGCACACACACATGCAAACACATACACATGCATACACTTGTAGAGAGAAGTTTCTCCAGTCCTGCAGCCCCTTAGTCCTGACGAATCTCTCCCACCCACGGTCCCACAGCTGCTTATAAAATAATCATTCAGAGTCTTAATATTAATTACAAACTGCATGGCCTATGGCTCAAGCTTCTTGTTAGTGAGCTCTTATAACTTAACTCAACCCATTTCTATTAATCTATGTATCGCTATGTGTTCCATGACTTTACCTGTGTCCCATTACATGTTGCTTCTTGGACAGCTGGCTGGCATCTCCCACTCTCCTTTCTTCTCTCACTATCTCTCTTGGATTTTCCCACCTGCTCCATCCTGCCCTTCCATAGGCCAATGCAGCTTTATTTATTATCTAATGGGAGCAACACATATTCACAGCATACAGAAAGACATCCCACAGTATACACCACACACATAAATGAAAAGAAAGAGAAAGAAAAAACTCATCTCATAGAAGTTGAACACAGACTGGAGCTAGCAAAGGCTGGGTTGGTGGGAACAATATTATTGTTGAATAGGATAGGAAAATTTAGTTCTGATGGCCCATGGCACAGCAGAATGCAGATAATTATGTATGTACCATAGTTCTCAAAATGGTTAGAGGAAAGGGATGTACTCATTATAAAGAAACAGTGAAAGTTTAAGGTAGTGGATTAATGCACTAATTACCCTGAGTTGATCACGGTCCAGTGTGCAATGAACCAAAGCAGCACATTGCCTCTCACAGGTGTGTACAAATACGGTGTGTTGATAATTCAGGAAAGAGAAAGTAAAATAAAACCACGTGTTAGAAATATAGGACCATGGACTGGAGAGATGGCTCAGAGGTTAAGAGCACTGACTGTTCTTCCAGAGGTCCTGAGTTCAATTCCCAGCTACCACATGGTGGCTCACAACCATCTGTAATGAGATCTGGTGCCCTCTTCTGGCCTGCAGACATACATGCAGACAGAACACTGTATACATAATAAATAAATAAATCTTAAAAAAGAAAAAAAAGAAAAGAAAGAAAGAAACAAAAAAGAAATATAGGACCAGGACCAGGGAGTTGGCTCAATGAGTAGGGAGCTTGCTGCACATACCTGGGTACCTGAGTTCTGTCCCCGGAACCTGTGATAGAAGGAGAAGAGTGAATCCATAAAGTTGTCTCGGGATCTCTGTGCAGGCACCCCACACACATCATAAAGAAATGCCTCTTAAAAATACAGGACCAGCCGGGCGGTGGTGGCGCACGCCTTTAATCCCAGCACTCGTGAGGCAGAGGCAGGCGGATCTCTGTGAGTTCGAGGCCAGCCTGGGCTACCAAGTGAGTTCCAGGAAAGGCACAAAGCTACACAGAGAAACCCTGTCTCGAAAAACCAAAAAAAAAAGGAAAAAAAAATACAGGACCAGCTGGGCGGTGGTGGCGCACGCCTTTAATCCCAGCACTCGGGACGCAGAGGCAGGTGGATCTCTGTGAGTTCGAGGCCAGCCTGGGCTACAGAGTGAGTTCCAGGACAGGCACCAAAACTACACAGAGAAACCCTGTCTCGAAAAACCAAAAAAAAAAAAAAAAAATACAGGACTAAGTTCAAGGCCAGCCTGGTCTGCAGAATGAGTTCCAGGAAAGGCTCTAAAACTACACAGAGAAACCCTGTCTCAACCCCTCCCCCCAAAAAATACAGGGCTAAAGGTCATCTTTTAACCCTCTCCAGCTATAATTTAACATGTTGCACATAATCTATGTAAGAGGACCAAGTCATTTTAAGAATACTAGGTGCCTTATCATTTTATCCATCACTACATTATGAGGGTTCTGTTCAGAATCCATATTCAGATATCCTCCAAATTCTGACTAGCATCCGTCATTTGAGGGGCACAAACTGACGTATTTACTTGATGGTGGTCATTTTGGTGACTGAGAAGCTGCCCACAGCTGTGGGGCTTCTGAAGTAGATGGGCGAGGCTAAGGGAGAAGGGTTTACTGCAAGGACACTTGTGACATTCATCGACTTCAGTCCTCAAGTGAGGAAGCTAAAGGGTCGCTAGCATAGGTCATGCATGGGTGTCCACCATAAGGTTTAACTGAGGCAGGGCAGCTCTTTACTTGCGTAGGTGGCTGGGTTTTGTTTTGGGTGGGATTACGGGAGGTTTGTTTCTCCAACACGCTACCCTGCCCTGCTGTGCTCTGTAATAATGTTATTTCATCCATTTGTTTACTGTAGTTTCATTTTATGGATGAACAGAATCCCAAAGGAAGGGAAAAAGCTATTGTTTTCCCAGCACACACGACTATAGCTTTCAGTGTTTTCGAGCTCTTCATTTACCTGGATGGTGCCTTTGGTGAGTAAAAGATATGCCTGAAGCTCAGGTGATTATGTTTTTAAGGAGAATGTAATAGGAATGAATCTCCCCCTCTGCTCCCCATCTTCCCTCCCTCCTTCTCTCTCTTCTTCCCTCACCCTCCCTCCCTCCCTTCCTCCCTCCCTCTCTTCCTTTCTCCCTCCTTCCTTCTGTCTCCCCTCTCGTTTTTGTGATTATGGAAGCATGATGCATTCAGTATCTTAGTCTTAGGCTAGGATGAAGTAGCTGAGAAAGCATCCCCCCACCCCCCACTTTCCCAGCACCTCTTTTATGCTTCTTAGGGAAGGCTCCATACTACCCCACTTATAATTATAGGTTAGGAATAAAACAAAGTCCATTGACAAAATATGCCTTAGCTTTTGTGGGAGGGATAATAAATGACTTCTAATAGGTAGCTTGTAGAAGTGGCAAATACACAATCTGAAGACAGTAAGATGCCCGAAGTGTGTGGTGCCCAAATGGGTGGTATGTATTAATTAATAATCAATTAGTTAATTTGTACATGTTTAGACATAACTTCCCACCTGCACATCCCCTTTTAAATAACAAAGGAAACACTTTAGAATTATAAGTACTTCCCCACAATTGTCATCTTGTATGGTTGCTCAGTGCAGCTCACTTTAGCTTTCTACATTTCCTGGGACTTTAAAGTTAGTTGACTGCCAGCCAGAACAAGACCAGATGTAGCTCCAAAAGGACCAGGCAAGGGAGCCCCCTAGTTATGGTAACTGACGTTTGTAGAGCTTCCTTTGTTAATTTCTTTAGTTCCGAGGAAGGGGGAGTAGGAAGTCTATAAACAAAACTACATTCTAAGTCAACTGAACTTTGAACCCTGTAGCCGCCAGGGGTTTGCGGTTATGGTGACTGTGTTGTGGAGAAGAGTATAAAATGGCATTCATCAGAATGTAATCTATGTGCACATTCTTTTGGCCTTTCATTTTCAGAAATTTATGCTCTAGGTATACTGAGACATATGGACAATGACAGAGGAACAGGGTCTGTAGGTGCTAAAACAAAGTACTGGAAACACCCTTAGGGGACCCAGTGGTGGTACATGCCATGAGCACAGCCAAGGAAGACAAAAGCATCATGAGTGGGTAGCTCTGGGCATGCGGTGATCTCCGAGAGCTATTTTAAAGGACTATGTGTGATATGGAATTGTTTCTGGAAACGTATGTTAAGTCTGCACGTACAGGGTTTCTAAAGGATACACAAGTTCGTGCCAGACAGGTTGGGTACAGGGTGGCTTAGAGGCATGTCACTGTGTGATTTTCATCTCTGAATTTTGTACTTCTTAATGCATCTTTTCCTCAAATGTGTAAAGTTTAGTTTTGTTAAAAACAACAACAACAGATTGCATGTATGGGTATTCATAGCCTCTGTGAAATACTCAAATATTAATTAAGTTCTAATAACATCTCAAATTTGTTTCGTAGACCTTTGTGTCACGTCAGTGTCAAAAGGAGGATTCGAAAGGGAAGAAACGACAACCTTTGCCATGTTCTACAGACTGAGAAATATACTCTTTGAAAGAAGTATGTCCGTTGAAGGGTATCTGTGAAGGCATTCTTCCTGTATCAGTATGTGAGGCTACCTACGCAGTAACCCATCAGTTAACATGTTTAAAGCCCAATTACTTCCTGACAGATGGTTTGGATTGACACCTTTTTAAACACAGCTTGGGTTGCACAGTTGTTTGGACTTGTAACACTTTTCTGGGTTCTGTTTTGCAGATAGGAGAGTGATGGATGCCATCTCTCGTTCCCAGCTTTACCTGGATGATCTCTTTTCTGACTACTACGACAAACCTCTCAGCATGACGGACATTTCACTCAAAGAGGGGACTCACATCCGAGTGAACTTACTAAACCACAACATTCCTAAAGGGCCCTGCATTCTCTGTGGAATGGGGAACTTGAAGAGGGAGACTGTTTATGGGTGCTTTCAGTGTTCGGTGGATGGGGTGAAGTACGTGAGGCTCCACGCAGTCCCCTGTTTTGATATTTGGCACAAAAGAATGAAATAAAAGGAATGTTGGTGGGTTTTGTTTGTTTGTTTCTTGTTTTTGGTTTTGGTTTTGGTTTTTGGAGACAGGGTTTCTCTTTGTAGTTCTGGCTGTCCTGGAACTCGCTCTATAGACCAGGCTGGCCTTGAACTCACAGAGATCCACCTGCCTCTGCCTCCTGAGAGCTGGGATTAAAGGTGTGCTACCACGCCCTGCTCTGTTTGTTGTTTTATGTACTACCATTCTACAAGCCTTCTTTAAATTGTTTAGGTCTGCTTGGATGAGTTTTTAAAAAGGCAGCAGGCCTTTTAGGTAAGTGTTCTCTGCCTGGGAAGTGGAGATGATGATACCAGTCTTCCTCATAGATTTTATGAGGATTAATAACATTGCTTACATAAAGCAAAACTTAATTAGAAAATTCAAAGAGAAGCCCTCTTTCACAGATTTGTCCACTTCTTCATAATCTCTTGGGAACCAGTGTATCGTTTTTAATTAGTGTTTTATATTTAATCACATTTTAACTCAACAGTTAAAGGTGACACATGGGCACACGGGGTTACTTTGGGGCCCTTTAGTGCCCTAGGTTTGGTAAGAGGAGAAAAATGTTAATAATTTAATATATTCCTAAATGTTTAATTGTGGTATCAGATGAAAAGCACTGAGCTCAGTGTGGGGCTTTGTGCGCCGTGAACAGTGTCATCGACAGTGGTAATGGGCGACCACTCTGCCTGCTGACTTCGTTTTGTAAAATGAGTGCTGTCACTTAGAGTTAAGGGAAACACGACGGGCCTATGTCTTTGGACATGCTTAATGGGTTGAATATATTTTGTCCTCAAATTTCAGTTTTGGGGTGCTAGCTACGGCCTTGCTATGTTAACAAAGCTGGTGTTGAAATCCTGGGCTCAAGTGACCTGCCGACCTCCACTTCAGAAATGTGCGGGTTACAGGTATGTGTGGGCCTGAATCTTTCCCATCTATTCTCTAAGATACCTGAAAATTTCATATACCAACAGCTAAATAATTATCTTTTATTAAAATTGTAAGAATACTTTAAAATTATAGATTAAAGGGATAACAGTGTTCACAGTTAGATTCACCCAAAGGCGTAAAACAATCATGTAGATACAGAACACGGCACACTGTACATATGTAGAATGGGTAATGATTTATATTTAAATTGTAATTTAAAAGATAAGTTTTGGGGTACATGTATTCATTTAATATATGTACTTTTCCTTTCTTCCCTTTTAGATAGAGTCTCAGGTAGTCCAGGCTGTCCTTGAACTCCCTATAGCCCAGGGTGATGTTGAATGACTCATTTTCCTGCCTCTGCCTCTGAGTGCTGGTATTACAGGTACCTGTCACTACTTCAGACCGTATGTGCTGGGATTGAACTTGGGTCTTCACGCTAGGCTAGGCAAGCACCATTGACTGAGCCAGCCCAGCTCCAGCCAATGTATCCTTAACTTTAAAAAACAAGTTTGGAAGTACTTTATATAGGCTGAGTAAAGTGGTATATGCCTGTAATCCCAGTCTGCAGGAAGTTGAGGCAGGAGGATTGAGAGTTTTGACACCAGGCTAGGCTGTATAGTGAGTTCTAGGTGAGCTTGGGCTATTATAGCAAGGCCCTGTGACATATAAAACAAAAACAAACAAAAAAGCCCATGCAAATACCTTGTCTGATAAATGATGGCCTAGGAAGGGTGTTCATGTATTTACTTAATTTACACTTGATTGCATACTGAGGGAAGTAAACTGGTAGGCGGCTTGCTGATTGGGAAAGTGTTCAAAAGTTATGGGAGCAGAGGTGTTAAATTTTGTCTGCATATGTGGCATTTACCAATGCAGTAGTTTCTACCGTATCTGAAAATGGAAAAAAGAAAGAAAGAAATGTTGACAATATATGTAAGAGTTAAAAATGAACCAATGTTTGGAAAGAACACATGTCAGAGAACAGAAAAAGCTTTGTTTGTTCTGAGCTCACTCATTTTGGCAAGAGCTATCCTGCTTAACTTACGTATAAAGCATCTAGATCATCTTTGCATGTTCCAAGTGCCCTTCCTTTGGCAACACGTGGTCCAGCATCTCTTCCCTACTCTCAACAAGTTGGATCACATTGTTTGACCATGACTCAAAAGTGGCATAGCAAGATGTCTTAGGGGTTCTATTGCTGTGGAGAGATACATGACCATGGCAACTCTTACAAGGAAAACATTTAATTGTGGTGGCTTGCTTACAGTTTCAAAGTTCAGTCCATTATCATCATAGTGAGGAGCATGGCGGCATGCAGTCAGACACGGTGCTGACTACATCTTGATCAGAAGGCAACAGGAAGTAGCTGTCATTGAATGAAGCTTAAGCAAAAGAGACCTGAAAGCCTGCCTGTGGTTGATATATTGTGCACCCTAATAAACTTATCTGGGGTCAGAGAACAGAACACTCACTGGATTAGACATAGAAGTCAGGCAATGGTAGCACACCTTTAATCCTAGTATTCTGGAGACAGAGATCCATCTGGATCTCTATGAGTTCAAGGCCACACTTGGAACAGAGCCTAGTGTGGTGGCACACACCTTTAATCCCAGAACTTGAGATCTCATGTCTTTCTTGGGAAAGATACATGCCTTTAATCCCAGGAAGTGATGGCAGGAAGCTGAAAGGAATATAAGGTGTGAGGACCAGGAACTAGAGGCTTTTAAGCTTTTAGGCTTTTAGCAGCAGTTCAGCAGAGATCCGTTTGGGTGAGGACTCAGAAGCTTTCAGTCTGAGGATTCATCAAAACAGAATCAGAAGAGGAATTGTCAAGGTGAGGTTGGCTGTGGCTTGTTCTGCTTCTCTGATCTTTCAGAATTCACCCCAATACCTGGCTCCTGAGTATTTTTTATTAATAAGACCATTTAAGAATCGTGTTGCAGGTTGGGGATTTAGGTCAGTGGTAGAGTACTTGTCTAGCAAGCACAAGGCCGTGGGTTCGGGTCCTCAGCTCCGGAAAGAAAAAAAAAAAAAGAATAGTGTTGCACCCCACAGTGACACATTTCCTTCAACAAGGCCACACCTCCCAATAGTGTCACTCCCTATGAGTTTATGAGGGGCAATTACAAACTACCACACAAGGTATCTCATTTGTAGCAAAAATTGAAAGTTCATATTTTTAAAAAGTTTAAAGCATTCCAGTTTGTAGCCATCATTTTTCATTAATAAGAATGTTAGAGTGAAGTGATACAGATATCTAGAGAAAGTCAACCAGAAACTAAGAAATGCCATGATACCATTTTAAAATTATGGGGAAAAAGCAATGGATGGTTGTGGGTGGGGGCAGTAAGGGGAGCCAGAGAGGTGATTCAGCTGTCAGGAGTGTGCACCATTCTTGCAAAGGACCCACTTTGGATATTTCCAGTTCCAGGGAGTTACAGCCTCTGGCCTCCATAGACTCTTCTATTCATGCACGTGCGTGCGCGTGCTCGCGGACACACACACACACACACACACACACACACACACACACACACTTAAATAAACAAATTTTTTTTTAAAAGTTATACATGATAGACAAGGAGAAGGAAAATGGAAGAGTAATAATATATTTATAATAATGCTTGAAGAAGCATAGTCTGGTATAGGTGATGAGCTTTAATTTGGCCAAATTTCCAAGGCTAGAAGCTTGTGCCAAAAATGTACAGACTGTGCTGAAATTCTTCAAAGGTCAGAGTTATACACAACTTACCTTTTCCTGCATGAACTTCAGAGGAAAACTTTGAACTGATGCTTTTTATATCCTATTATCTATAATATAACATCACAAAATGCATAAATAAAAGAGACACAACTTCCTGGTCTCTGAGTATTCTTAGATATGGGGCATTTTAAGAACTGAAGTATAGGATCTTTATATACTTATACTTGCTGTTATTACTAGAGTTGGGAAGCACTTACAGTCTATTTTAACATGTGTGTTCATCTATGTCCTGAAGGAGGGATGTCACCCACTGGGATACAGGCCCATTCCCTGGTGCTGCAATTTCTGTTCACAGCAGAAAATAACAGGAAACACAATCACACCTACCCCAGAGTTAGATTTGCAAAACAGCTTCACATTATTACACCAAAATTATGTTTATTAAAGGAAACAAATTATCTTCTCATAAGGGAAAACAGGCAACTAGAACTTGGAGAAAGTGATTTTTTTTTTTAAATCGAAGTACAGTAAGTTACTAACAAATAAAGAGGTAAAATAAATTTATAGCTCATCATGTTGGTGCACATTATATTCCTTGGGAGAAATGAAGCCGTCTCTATTGTGGTCATTTTTCTTAAAGATATCTTCCAAAACTGCATTCTGATATGACTTGTCACGGGGCTTCGCATCCTTTTCAAAGTCCTTCTGTAAGTAAAGCTCTATCTAGAGGGACAGAACAAAATGTCGTTAATAAAAACCCATCACAAATGTCTGGCAACTTTGAGAAATGATTACAGTAATGAATAAGCATATTAAGTGATATAAACATTTTCAATCATTTATCTAATTGCTTATGGGGTGGCACTCAAGGACCATGGTGGACATGTGGAGGTCAGAGGACAACTTATGGAAATTGGTTCTTTCTTCCCACCATGTGGGATCCTGGGGACTGAACTTAGGTCATCAGGCATGAAGCAAGAGCTATATTCACCTAGAAATCTCGCCAGCCCATAAACTTTAAAAAAAAGTATATCAAGGTTTGGGAATACCTTTGAAACAGTGTCTCTCATAGGCCTGGCTGGCCTGGAACTCACTATGTAGACCAGGCTGACCTTGAACTCACAAGTGTTGGTATTAAAGACATATGCCACCATGCCCAGTCCAGGAATTTTTGTTTTTAATTTTTGAAGTGATTTCTGAAGAGAAATGGGTATTCAAATTAGCCGTCCCTAGGGTGATAAATTGGCGGTACTAGCCACACTGAATTTTCCTGAAACTAGATACTTTCTAATAATCCACTGTTCATATTAGGAAGGGCAAACACAGTCTTAAGGAGTCCTATTATTTAATGAAATCTCATTAGCGATTCTGTCCCTGGAACCAATGGATTTATTCTGCCATCAAGTCAACCAAGGACTTCAGATGTTCTGCTCTACTGCCTGTTTATGTTTGCAGCAGAGAAAATTTCTCTAAGCAAACACACAATAAAGCACTGTCCTATCAGCCGCATGCAATTTCTGGGTATTAGAAATGTGGCTACAGTAAACTGAGACATGTTCCTGTAAATGTAAGTCACACAAGAGATTTGGGAGATAATAACTAAAAAGTACACCTCACTGATAATGTTGATATAGGTTTCATGTAGAAATGCTGCTATTTATACTGAGTTAAGCTAAGTAAAAAAATGTCATGTTTATTTTTCTTCATTTCCTTGTCTTGAGAGGAGACCATCTCTCACTGTGCTGCTCAGGCTGATCTCAACTTACAGGCTCAATCCATTCTTCTGCTTCAACTTCCTCAGAAGCTGGGAGTATGGGTATGTATCACCATGGCCAGCTTTGTTTTACTTCTTAAAATGTGCACACAACATAATTGAAAGTTATCTACATGACTTGGCTGGTTTTTCCATTGGAAAATGCTGATTTATGCTAAAGAAATCACGGTACACTGAGCTAGAGATAATCTTCTGCCAGCTGGGGCATCTTAAAAGTAAGGGACATTTTGAAAGGGGAAGTTGAACACTGAACAGTTTTGGGTAATACATATTCCATGCTTAACCCAATCTACTTGACTTTAGAATGATCAGTGGACCTTAAATCAGGTTTGCAAACCTGACTTTGATCCAATATGAAGGGAGAGACATTTTTTTTCCCCTCTCTGCTAAAACTTAGCAATCCTATCTAAGTATAAAGCATTTTAAACAGCCTCAAACATTCTAAACCAAAATTTTCTTTTCCAAACTTTTCTAAACCAAAATTATCTTTTCATAACTAATAAAGCTGATGTTCAATATCTACTCTTTTTTTATACAGTGTAGTAAAGGCACAAAGAGGTGGTGGGCAAGAACATTAATTTAAAAAAATTTATTTTATTATTTAATGTATTTGTGCTTACAGCACCCAGAGAGACCAGAAGAGGGCATCAGATCCCCTGGAATTAGAGAGACAGGGGGTTGTAAGCTGCCTCACATGGGAGCAGACGCTGGGAGGCGACTCTGGTCCTCTCTAAGAGCAGGGAGTACTCAATTGCTGAGCCACCTCTCCAGCCCCATGACTTTAATTTGTGCTAGTAATGGGCTCTACACTACTTTCATTCTGTAATTTAATACTGTACCCTACTCCCACCTTATTGAAACTGAAGAAACAATCTCTTAAATCTTTCTGATCATTAAGCAAGGAAGTTTCTGTTAGCTCATGTTTCAAACCTGGGCCTCCATGTGTATTAGTTGCATGGTCTTCAACCAAAATTTAACCTTTCTGAACACTAGGAATATTACCTGTAAAAGGAGAGAAGGATCTACACTATAGGATTGATAACAGGGTCAATGTCAATAGATGATAACTATTATTACAACTGGGCAAAAATCATTCTTACCCATCTAGTAACAACATTTGGTGATACTCAATAAGATGCCTGGGAAACTGTAGTTGAACAGATATTTTGGATTTCCTCTACTTTTATTTTTCCAAAAAGAACTGGAGACACCCCCTAATGCCTAGAGGTATTCATAGTGCAGAAGGAACCTCTCGGTGTGGCTGAAGTATCTCAGGAATGGTGTGCGAACAGGCTGCTCCCAGGGTGCCACGAGAATCCCTTTGCTGCTACTATTTATTCCAAAGAGGGTGATGAGGAGGAGTCAAGAGAGGTAACACTGGAAATAGTTAGTTCCCCTTTAAGGGCCCCCTTAAGGCCTGGTGTGCTGGCTAGTTTTTGTCATCTGGAAAGAGGGAACCTGCCTCCATCAGACTGGCCTGTAGCTAGTCTGTGGGTTATTTTCTTGATTAATGATTGATGTGGGAGGACCCAGCTCTCCGTGGGCAGTGCCACCCTGGGGCAGGTGAGCAAGCCATTGGGAACAAGCCAGTAAGCAGTGCTCCCCTTTGATCTCTGCTTCTGTTCCTGCCTTCAGGTTCCTGCCCTGGCTTCCTTCCCTCAGTGGACTATGACCCAGGCTATGTAAGCTAAATAAAGTCTTCCTCCCCAGGTTGCTTTTGGCTGTGGTCTGAGAAAGCAACTGAGACACCTGGCAGATATGCCTCTCTCCCTGCCGGTTAACCGGGAGCCTCAGGGAAGTGCTTACTGCTTACGAGGCTCCTGGAGGAGGAGCTAGAGCTGGGTGGGGAGGGGGCTGGAGGTGGAGATGAAGAAGAATGGAGACTGGAGATGTAGCTTAGGGGGCCCACTGCCGGCCTAGCATTGCCTCCTTCTAGGTCCAAACCCCAGTCACAAAGAAGAAAGAAAACAGGAAAAGAAAGACTTATGAGCTAGGGCTGGTGGCTTATTCCTGTAATTCTAGCCCTTGGGAGAGGCAGGAAGACTTCCCCAAGTTCAAGACCAGCCTGTACTACACCATGAGTTCCAGGACAGCTTGGGGCTAGAGTGAGACCTTATTTCAACCCTGAAGTCCCTGAAACAAAAAAAAGGACTATTTGGAATCAAGGGCCCACCTGCCTCATTACCTGCTTAGGTGGTGGTGTACATTTCTAACTGTCTCTAAACAAAGGAGGGAGACAGCTAAGTTCAGCTCAGACTGTGTGACTGGATGAGGCACTGCGGACCTCCCTGAAACACTCAGATGGTAGTTCCCTGAAAGGTAGGGAGTGCCCCAGGCGCCGAGCCCAGAGGCAGACAGCCTGGGCTCAACCCTGGTTTTGTTATTGCAGCTGTTACTCAACATGCCTGACTACCATCTCCCCATCTCCAGGAGACGACAGAGCTGTCTGTCATGGAAACTGTCCTGAAGATCAGATAAATTCACATACTAATGTGCTTAGAGTGGTATCAGGTACTAAGACAGTGGGAAGAACGTGTATCGTTATACATTTTGATTAGTTAATCGATAGGAGATGGACTTTTAGCTCGTGCTTGCCAACTTCTTAGCCCACTCAGTTCAAATTCTTGCTAGCTCTTTTCATAATCTCTTCTACGTACGTCACAGTCCAGAGGTTAGAACTACTTGTGACAAGTTCACACACTGCTGTTGGAAAGAGGTTTGTCCCTCTAGTGCAGATGCCAGAAGAGCCATGGGGGAGCTGCTGTGGATGATTGATTGATAAATAAAATGCTGATTGGCCAGTAGCCAGGCAGGAAGTATAGGCAGGACAAGGAGAGAGGAGAGAAGTGTGGGAAGTGGAAGGCTGAGGCAGAGAGACGCTGCCAGCCACCGCCATGACAAGCGAGATGTAAGGTACCAGTAAGCCATGAGCCACGTGGCAACTTACAGACTAATAGATATGGGTTCATTTGAGATATAGGAACTAGATAACAAGAAGCCAGAGCCATTAGGCCAAACAAGTTTAAGTGGGCTGAGGGACTGCCGGAGCGGGAGCTGGAGAGAAACTCTCCAGCCACAGGGAGCTTGGGATTTTTCTTATTTGATTGATTGAACTGCCAGTACTGGTAATTGAACCCAGGGCCTCCTGGATGTTTGGGCAAGAACTCTACACTAAGCCATATGCCCAGACCCTTCTGCACTGTTTGAGACAGAATATTAATAAGTTCCCCAGGATGGCCTTGGATTGTCTGTAGCCCAGGCTGTCTTTTAAGGTATTATTTTCTTATATCAGGCTTGGGAGTAACTGAGGCTATAGGCCTGCATCATGTAGTCTTACACTAGCATTTTAATAACCTTCCTACATACAGAGAAAAGGGAAAGGATATGTTTTTCTCAGAGTTTAGAATTTCCAGCCAACAGCTCTACTAAAGCAACCAGAGCCAACACTAGTGAAAACTGGGAAGTATCTTCAACACAAATGCCTTTGAGTTATAATGAAAAAAAAAAATCAAACTGCAGACATGAAGTTTGAATTACCTCGGCTTTGGAGAGCTGCCGGTCGTTGTCCGTGTCTATTTGCTTAAATGTTTCAATGCTCCGTGGTCCTTTGGTCACAGCATAAAGTTCAATCTCAAACATCAGTGTTGCATTGGGTGGAATCTTGCCTTCTGCTGAGGGTTTAAATGTGAACAGTTTGACTTACATGAAAGTAGCTTTTCAGATATTCACGCAGTGATCATATTAGCGTCAGGGTTATAGTGTTTAGAAGAACTGCTTACAAAACAGTAAGCCTTTTAGCATCAAAAAATTCAGGATTTATCAATGTATTTTTCCTTCTTTTTATAAAAGAATTGGGTTCAAGGCCAGCCTGGTCTACAGAGTGAGTTCCAAGACAGGCTCCAAAGCTACACAGAGAAACCTTGTCTCAAAAAACCATAAAAACAATACAAAAAAAAAAAAACAACCAAAAAACATTTTGGGGACTTTTTTTCCCCTTTGTATTTTAAACCAGGTCAGTTCAAAGACCCTTCTGGACCAGTTTCCTGGTTAAGTTAAAATAACCAAAGACTTTATTACTATATCTTGATCATCATATAGCAGAGCTATGGTAGAGAGAAGAGATGCAGGAGTAGAAAATTTCCAGATTTGGGCTGGAAAGATGACTCAGTGTCGCTTGCTGTCAAACCTGATGACCTGGGTTCAATACTTGGGACTCATGTGGTGCAAGAAGACAGGTGACTCCCACAAATTGTCCTCTGACCTCCACAGACCTGCTGAGGCACATGCTTTGTCCTACATAAATAAATAAATGTAATTAAGAAGAAAGAGAGCCAAGTGATGGTAGCGCATGCCTTTAATTCCAGCTCTCAGGAGGCAGAGACAGGAGGATCTCTGTTCAGTTCAAGGTCAGCCTACAGAAAAACCCTGTCTCAAACAAACAAACGAAACCCATCCCTCAAAAAGTAAGAGATTTCAGAGTATAATCTCTGAGAAAATGATTTTATAAAGTAATCCAGGAGCATAAGTAGAACATAAATATCAATCTGTTTTTAAAATTCTTTATAGATACTGAAAAGTTAAATGCAGTAACAAAAATCCAGAAGCAATTTTACACAGAGTATCATAAAAATTTTAAATATGAAATTGAATAGTTTTAATAAAGTTCATCTGTTCACTGACGCAGCTAGTGAATTTGGTAAGAGGAGGCTATTTCAGGTGGACATTTCGGAGGGTTGACAAGAGGCAGTGAGTAGCTGAGAATGTTTCCAGGGCCTTAGAGGCCATGTGATCTGGGACATGCACACGAGTATTTGCTAAACGAATGATAGTCTTTGAAAGTAGCTAAGTTTGTTCAAAGAAACAGCAATTTCTTTAATGGTAAAGTAGATAATTCATGCTAAAATACTTATAAAACCCAAAGAGGAAAAGACAGAAATTACAGCCCAAAGCAGTGCATTGCAATTTCCAAAGCCAGACACAGAAAAATCTACCCACCCACGTAGGCCTGTTGGCAAAGACCCAATGTTCTACAAAATACCTGGCTTCGAAGGGCAGGAAAATAACATCCGACAATAATTAAGAGAGACTCAAAAACAAAAATTCCCTTTGCTGTTCTGCGGCCGCTGCTGCTGGAAACAGGGCCTGAAAGGCAAGTGAGCTGACCTACACCACTGAACAACTCGAAGCCCAAACTCAGACTTCCCAAGAAAAAGTACCACAGATGCACGGAAAGTCCCCAAACAATTCTATAACAAATACAGAAAATGTGGCTAATTAGTTTTTTCTACAAAAAAGATTAAAGCCAAAAAAAGAGATAGATGTGCATTGCAACAGAATTATTTATATTTTTAGAGGTAGAATGAAGAGGTAGGAGTTAATGTAAAGAATATATACATACCACATAGACGGTTAATTAAAGCACTAGAGAGCCACATGCACTTCAAGACATGCAGGGATGTTCTGTGACATGAGCCAAGGACATTTTGCCAGAAGAAAAACTTCTTCAAGCATCACCTAAAATGAAGTTATAACTAATGTTATGTTTTAATAAACACTTACTTAAAGCTCATCGAGAAGACCTGTAAAGATCAAGCCAGTCAACATGCTAGCATTCCTGCCCTTACCCTTAACCCAGGAGCTATTGACAGCTGAGGGCTTCTAGGGAGGGAGAGTCAGTTCTTAGGCTCTGGTCCCTGGTAGGTTGACCACACTCCAGTGGATGTCCCCACACTCATGACTATGAACAACACAAATTTGACCCCGTAGGAGGTGTGTGTGTGAGAGAGAGAGAGAGAGAGAGAGACAGAGAGACAGAGAGACAGGGACAGAGAGAGAGAGACAGAGAGACAGAGAGAGAGACAGACAGACTGACAGAGACACAGAGAGAATGACAAAGTTGGGAGTAGAGAGGTGAAGCATGGATATGAGAGGAATTAGGGGGAAGTGTGTACAGGGGTGGGTATGATTAAAATACATTGTGTGCATATATGAAACTGTCAAAGAAAAGAATTAAGAATATATTTTTAAAAAGCTTACATAATAATCAAGTGATGGTGGCGCACACCTTTAATCCAGCACTCAAGAAGCAGAAGCAGGAGGATCTCTGTGAGTTCAAGGCCAGACTACAGATCTACAGACTGAGTGCTAGGACAGCCAGGGCTACACAAAGAAACCCGGTCTCAAAAAACCAAAAACCAAAGGCTTACATAATCAAGAAGATTTTGCTAAATTTCCCACATCTTGGAATCTAAGCTACTGTAATACAGGTAAGGCCACAGGTAACTACAGTACAATGTACTTATTTTTTTTAGGCCTCACTTTTCTTATAAGTAAAATAAAGGTGATAATGAGATTGTCTAAATGTTTATTGGAGACTCCTCAAAGTCAATAAGAATGCCTGTTTCCCCGCAGAAAGGGTGTAGTATGTTGATAGTTTGGGCAGCTGGGTAGTCATTCTTAGCTAAGCATAAACTAGTTTTGGTATAGGATAAAGTAGTCATTTGCTGTAGGATAATGGACCCAGGACTGGTACCCATTGAAGATGGATGTGTGTGCTCTGAGGGTAAGCAGAATGTTGAGACAACTCAGAAACTGGGGGAAGAGACAGAAAGGCAAAGTTGACCTACGTCATTTTGCCTAGAAGTAACCAACTCATGACATTTTGAAGAGAGTATTGTATTTACATTATCTTCAATTTTATCTCTCAGGCTCCTCTACAAAAAATCACCCACATGCGTACACACGTGTGTGTGTGCGCACACACACACAGTATATACAAATCATGATGCCATGGGAATCTATCTTTTTTTCTTTTGTAGTGCAGTGCTGGGACCAAAGTCAGGGCTTTTCCTATGCCATGCAAGCCACCTACCACTGACTGTCACACACCCAGTCCCAGGAACTATTCTGATGGGAGCAAATGATTGTGGAGAGCAGTGAACACGAAGCTGTAGATATCTGGAACCATTTCTTTTAGAACGCCAGGTCTGACAAGCTCGAAGCACCGGCTTCCCTCAATCTCACTTGGGACAATGGCCTTCTCTTGCTGAAAAGCAAAGCAAGGGGGATTACCTCTTTAAGAGGCAGCCAACAGCTTCAAGGATGACGCATCTCTATGAGACATGGTGATAATTTGAAAATCGCCCCTTAGGAAACTGACTGCTAATTATGTATTAGATATTTCAAATCAGTGGAGTTGGTAGGGGTTAAACAAGGCGAGCAGGCAAAGGTTCTTACCATAGCCTTCTTTTCCATATGCAAATGAAGGAGGTATGATCACCTTTCTCTTCTCTCCAGGGCACATGTCCATCATAGCAATGTCCAGTCCCTTTATGACATGCCCAACACCAAGAACAAACCATTTGGGGTGGCCTTCATCCTGTGTCCGGCTATAAGAAACCATACTTAGTACTTAAATAAGCTCATGTCATGAAGGAGACTTTTAAATATAGCTAGGCATTTGGTTATTATTTAAAATTGGAATCTCTTTTCCCACGTTAGCATTCTTTCAGAACTCTGTGAAGTGTTTGTCTCAAACTTGCCCACAAACTGGCAGAAAGTATCATTAGCGGTCACTCCATTTTCTGTTCTATTGCCGCCCTTACAAAAACTACCCAACAGTTAACTTTTTAAAATGGGTCTCCAGCCTCTAACTAGCTGCACGGCTTGAACCAAATGCATTTAACTTCTCTGGGTTTGTTCCCAAAACCGAAGGGGCAGGCTGAGGTTGAAATTTCATTTTAAGGGCAACTGAAAGTAGCATCCCGCCAAATTTCTCTTCTAAACAGCAGGAATAGTGTTCTTCTAAGTTGGAAAGAATCGCTTTCTCCAGGCCTATCCCTGGAGGGTAGACAGCCCAGCTAAATAAAGGGCATTCAATCAGACCGGAGTAGGGATGGGAGAGCCAGAAGGATGCAATCACCAGGGGTTCTGGTGACCCACTGAAGACCGGAACAAAACGTGGTAGCCTCTAATACGTTCTGTTTGGAAAGAGAATTCAGCTCTGGGTAAACAAAGTGTGAGTATCTTTTCAAGCAGCCTCTAGATTTATTTGTAGGGGTCCCAAGGACAGTGGTGGCAGTCAGTAGTACGCATGGTGTAGTCGATCTGCAGTCCATTTACTGAGCTAACATTTTCAACAGTGAAAACATTCAGTTTTTTTTTTTTTAGGGACTATCTTCTAATCGAACTTGGCATAATGGCTTAATTTACTGTTTAAAACAAAATAAAAAACCTTAAATCAACTGGCTTCTGGCTGGTGGGGGGGGGGCAAGATCCGGTGTATCGACTGCACTGGAACTGAACGGAACATCTCCTACCTGCAGTAGAATTTGGAACCATCTTTAGCCAAGTAGCCGTCGTAATGGGCATTTAGCAAGTCTCCTTTCCTGCTTGTTTTGGAGCAATTTTCTGGACGATGCAAAACTTCTATTTTCACGTCCTCCGTGCTTCCGTCTTCCGTTTGTCCCTGACCGTTGGAACAGCCCCACAGGCTGAGGAAAACCGCTAGTCTGACTAGGAAAAGCATGGTTCGCAAAGCAGAACCCCCAGGCCTCGGGTAAGCCCTACCGCGCATCGGTCGGCCGGCTGGTAGATCTCCGGGAAGGACCGAATTCGGACGCGTGGCAGGCATTGTCCTACGTCACAAAGGTCCGGGGCGGGTCTACGCGAGGCCCCGCCCCCTCGACCAGCGGGTCGCCCGCTGCCCGCCTGGAGAGTGTCTTGGGCTTAGAAGAGAATCGCCCGTCCCGCCGCTTCTCCCCGCTAAGCCTTCATTTACCACAGGTGTCTTCCACCTTCATAGTCCGGCCCGCGTCTCCTGAAATAAGACTGGCATCATGGTGGTCATTTCCAGGCATTTGGGAGATATTGCGAAATTCCGTGGCCTTCGCTTGGTGTCCTGATCTTGCCTCTCCATCCCTGCCTCTTGTTGGGCCTAATGGCTTGGGTTTAAATTTTTAAATGATAAGTTGAACCATTTGGTCATAGAAAAAAATTACATAGATGTAGGTCCTAAAACTGAGTATTTTTAAAAATATTAAAAAGATGGGCCAAGAAATTGATACAAAATGCAGACAGTCCACGGTGGGATGTTCTAGTCGCAAGGTGGCTATTATTTCTAGATGCAGGAGGCTTCTCAGGCCCCGGTGGGTTTGGCAGGCACAGTGGTGGCAGGCGTTCTTGGAAGAAAGTGACAAATAGGGTCGCTGCTGTTCTTTGGATACTTTTGGGGAAGCCCTTGAAGGGCTTCTGGGGGTCGCGGTCATGCATAAAAGGACTCCAGGGTCATTTTATGCGTCTGTCACACGCCTCAGAACACAGTGGAGGGTCTCCAACAGCCCATGCGTGGCACGACAGAAGCTAGCTTGTGTGTCTGTCCCCCATCTCTTACGGGGCCGCCCTTGACCTGAAGGCTTCCAGCAAAGTGAGAAAAGCGTTTTTTTTCCTGTGAGAATTCGGTCACATCAGACAGGAAACTGACTATTGAGCGTTTTGTTCCAATCTCACGGCTAATATGCCGGAGATTGGCCGAGTCTATTGATACATCCCTTTCTTCTTTTAGTATGAAAACCTTACAAACAGCACAAAAGTTGGATTTTACAATACCCGCTAGGCTTAGACTATCATTAATGAACTACATGCGTTTTGTTGGATATCCATCTACCCATCAATTCGTCAAGGGAATATCTAGATTATCCCATTCAATCAACCTTCTCTGAGGGGGAAGTCAGGCATTTCCCTACCTCAGTACTGAGCCTGCTTTATCTGATTGTTTGGAATTTGCAAAACTTTCTAAATCTGAAAATCACTGTCAAGTGGGTAAAAGTGTTGCTCTCTTCCAAGTGAGACTTTTTTAATTAAAAATTTTCAAATTAAAAATAAATCTAAGGGCAAGCCTTTACTTAAAAACAAAACAAAAATACAAAGCTTGGTTCCATCTTAACCTTTCTTTTCTTTCCTTTTTTTTTGTGACAGGGTTTCACTTTGTTATCTTTGGCTACTTCCTGAATGCTGGTATTAAAGGCTTACATCTCGACATACACCATGAAAAACATTCAGAGAAAATTTGTGTGTGTGTGTGTGTGTGTGTGTGTGTGTGTGTGTGTGTACTCGCGCGCACGCGGCGGGGGCGGGGGGGTTAGGGGGTGCGTGCAACATGGCCCACATTAAGAGGTCAAAGGACAATTTACAGAAGAGGGTTCTCTCCTATCACTATGTGGGTCCCCAGAATGGTACTTCAGGTCATCAAGCTTCCAGAGGCAAGCCTTTACCTGGAAGCTTGCAGCCCTCACCAACCCTAGTTCCATGTTTGGTATGAAGACCTCGTTGAAGGACCTCACCAGGCTGTGTACTACTTCTGTATCCCTCTTTCCCTTCCTTATTAGAAAGGGGCTCACGCTGTAGCCCAGGCTGGCCTTTTGTCATTTTCTCTACAGTGCTGGGATTACAGGCCCTTGCCACTGCTGCCAGCTTTTCCTAACTTCTTACTTTCCCTGGGTATGATCGCTGGAAGCGAAGTGGGGTGTGTGTGTGGGGGGATGAGCAGCTCTTGATTTTATTTTAAAAAGATCAGCCGGGCGGTGGTGGCGCACGCCTTTAATCCCAGCACTCGGGAGGCAGAGCCAGGCGGATCTCTGTGAGTTCGAGGCCAGCCTGGTCTCCAAAGCGAGTTCCAGGAAAGGCGCAATGCTACACAGAGAAACCCTGTCTCGAAAAACCAAAAAACAAACAAACAAACAAAAAAAAAAAAAAAAAAAAAAAAAAAGATCAGAAAGAGGCGAGGTTAGGCCGCCGCCCAGGGCCGGATGACCCGGGAGTTTGTGCGCGGAGGGTCCGGATGCCGGGGAGCCGGGGAGCCAGGGAGCCGGGGACCGCCGAGCCGCCCCACGAGGGCGCGCGGCGCAGCCTCGGGCACGCGGCCGTCCCGGAGCCCCGCCGCCGGGGAGGGGTTTCGCGGGCCGAGCCGGCCCCTTTCATCCAGGAAGTGAAAGCGACGTCGGGGTCAATGAAAACAAACCGGGAGCCCGGGGGGAAGGAAGGCGGCGGGCGCGCAGGAGGGCAGCGCCGGGGCTCGTGGAGCGGCGGCGGAGCGGGAGGGCGGCGGGCGCTGGGGTCGCCCCGGGGGTCGCCGCGCCCTTCCCGCTGGGGATGTCCGCGCCTCGCGGCCTCCGAGCAGCACGCGGCGCCCGCCGGCCGGGCCTCTGAGGGCCCCCGGGTCGGGGCGGAGGGCTGCGGGCCCGCGCCTCCGCAGCAGCGCGGCCGGCGCCGGGCCAGGAGGATGCGCGGCGCCGGGCTCTGAAGCATGGAGGGGGTTCTGTACAAGTGGACCAACTATCTCACAGGTACCGGGCGGGCGGCGCGGGGCCGGGGGCCACCTGGTCCTCGCTCACCTCCTCTCGAGCCTCGGGACTCAGTTGCGCTCCCGATCCTCCCCACTCTCTGCCCCTTGTTGGGGCTCATTCCCGGCCGCTTCGACGGGGAGTTCGAGACTGCTCACCATCCCGAGGATGGGACACGCACCAGACATCTGCATGGCATCCCTTGTGCCCCAGGAACAGTCCCCCTTCACCCTAAGTGTGTCGTTACAGTCTCTGCTTTCGCATTTTGTTAATTGGGGTGTGTGTGTGTGTGTGTGTGTGTGTGTGTGTATCAAATCATTTAATTTTAAGGTATGTTTTCTATATTCCTTTACATTTTCTTACCACTGGTTTGAAAGTCCACTTGTTGAGGTTGTCTGAGCTCATCAGGTGTGGTTTGGGAAGCTATTCTCAGAATGTTTTTAGGGATTGGTTTTCAAGTGAGGTTTGGGAATTCGGGTAATTGTGAGACGTAGTGGAGGAAAGCGCATTTCAACACCATGGAAATGCGGGTCATTGTGAGGAATAATTGGAAAGGCCACACAGAAGGAGCAGGCAAGTTTCCCTGGTGAGGTAGTTAGAAGAAAATCTGTTTGTAGAGAGAGGAATGTGATCAACCGCTGGAAACTGCCCCTGCCTGTGATATTGGAAGTCTAGCCCTTTCTTAAAAACACCTTAAACCCAGATCCTGTGATCTCTGCTATAACCAATATTTAAAGGCAAGTGTGGTATTCTTTCAGGATCCCTGTTGGCCAAGGCCTGGGTGGTTAGCTATTTTATCCCAGAGATACCTTCCAACTTCTGAATCTCATGATCTCATCAAACTAGAGTAGGACTGGCATTGGTAAGGGAAGTCTGGGCAGTACTCAGATTCTTAGTCCCGAGGAACAGTCAGTCTTTGACTTGCTGCCCACTTATTCTGCGCCAAATATTGAGCCCCGTAGTCATTCTGTGATGCACTCAACTCGTGTCCGCCTATCTTGTGGGAATCTGCAGGTTAAACCCTGTAAGTGCTAAATGCTTAGGCGTATCTGGTTAGAGCGGCTTAATATTTGTAATACGCTGATGGTTTCTGCTCAAACGAAAAAGCCAAATAACCATGTAATGGACACGTTTTTTACTGGAACCAGTAAGACATTAGGCAGATAGTTTTTCTAAGAGTTTTCATTTGGTCAGTTGTGAGCACAGATTGCTGGTTGAGGCATGTTAGCATAGAGTCCCACAGCCTCTCTGAGTTTGGAGGTGCAAATACTTTTAAGCACTCTGTCTTTGGAGGTAGTGCCAGAGGAGTCTTTCCTGCTTGGTCCAAAGCAGTTACTGCCACGAGTCCTAATTGAAGGGGAAATTTCACTTGGGATGAAATGTGTTCTTGTGGGAGGTGTCCTCATCTCTCGGCCTGGTTGCCAGCACATGCCAAGATTTTAGTTTTTAGGGTGCATTTTAGCTTAACTTCTAGTAAGCATTGTAGAGTTGACTGAAATGAAGTCTTTGGTTTGGAATGATTCCATTTAAAAAATGTAAAGTTGGCTCTGCAGTGTGTTCGTTTATTTTAGTATCTTTCGGGTCGGAAGGACGAGCAGCTGTTCACCCTGGCTGGTCTTTAAGGACTTCAGTGTAATGACAGTGTTAGTTCTGACTTTTCTTGGCCAGCATGTGTTTCCGTAACATTTAGTAGTTTGAGAAAACTGCTTGTTAAAGTAGAAATTGCAACAGGAAATAACCTACCAATCCTTTTACTGTACCATGAAAGTATGAACCAGTTAGGGAAAGTTAGGTTAAGTATTTCTTCGAAGAGGTGGGTAGAGATAATTAACAGGCTTGATTAGGTGAATACACTCAACCACCTGACTTTCTCAGTTCCTCCAAATTCTAAATGAATCGTTTTGCTCACAGTTTACTTCGAGGAGCTGTTGCATCATAATAATGCAATAATGCACAGAAATGCTTTTCAAAGACCAAAAGTTACGTTACTGGCCTAGGTGGACCTGAGGTGGAAGCTTGCATTTCCACCACCTCTTTATAATTTGCCACAGTGAATTAGTACTTGGAAAAATAATATAGTCATTAATTCATTCTTTTAGTCATTGTAGACATACACTAAAAAATCATTTTCATTGTATTTCCTTGCACAGGCTCGGCCAGTGCTGTCCCCACAGACTTTTTTATTTTTCCATTGTTTTACATTTTTCTAGACTTTCCTGCATGAGTACTGTACTTAAATTACTTCCACCCCACCATCTCTTCCTTGTTTATTTATATTATTTACTTATGTGTGTGTGTCTGTGAGTGAATGCATGGGTGCGCCTCAAGCTGGAGTCACAGGTGGTTGTGAGCCGCCTGACGTGGGTGCTGGGCACTGAACCTGGATCCTCCAGAAGAGCAGTGTCAGCTCTCAACGGCCTAGCAACCGCTGTAGCCTTGAGGAACGCATCTGTTTTTTTTAAAAAGCACCTATTGTATGTTAGGGTATCTTTGTGCAGTGAGGAACAAGATAATGTCCAAATACCAAAAGAGTCCTCCTTCTCTGGCAGCCCTCCCTAGGGAATGCAGTGTTTACACAAATGTGTTTTCCTGGGGCCTGAAGTTTGCTTGGTTTGTCTTTTTGAACAGGTGGGTGTAACATCCCTCGTCTTGCTAAGCAAGGTATAGAAGGTAAAATTGAACCTGTTTGTGCCAACTCGGTGTTCTTGTGGAAAGAGTAAGGACAGTCCCACTGCTTCCAGCATGGTCACCAGGTTGTCAGTCGATAACCTGCCGTCTATTTGTACCATGCTTGATAAGATTCCAGGGCACATGAGTTTGGCTCTCAAGAGGCATGAAGAGGAAAGCCATCACTCCTGGTTACATACAGACTTTGCCTTTGAACCAAGTCTGATGGGTGTATGCGTTAACTGCTGAGGAAATGTCAGTGAGCTGAGTGAGTGAAGTTTGCAGCATTTCTGCCTTAGCATCAGAGAAGGGAAGGAGGGTGGGGGTGGGGGGGAATTTCTTTCGCTTTCACTTGTTCAGGCCACTTGTTTTGAAGAAAGAATTTTGGAGACTTATTGGGATGAAAATATTTACTCTAGGTTAGCCGTCAAGAATGGTAACAGAACTGAGGCAAAACCTCTGTTTTCTGTAGTTTTTTTTCCGAGATGAGCAGCTTTAATCTGAAATGCTCCCAAACCCAAAGATTTGTAAGTCCTGGAGGGACACTCACAAGTGGAACGTGCCCCACCTGACTTCGTTCCATAGGGCACAGCCAGAAACAAAACTATTACATAAAATTACTTGTAGGTGAGGTGGTGTGAATTTCATGTTTAGATTGGGTCCCATTCTTCTTATTTCTCATTATGCATTTGCAAATCCAAAATCCAACATCTGAAACACTACTAGTTCCAAACATTTTGGAAAAGAAATGATATTTCTCCATTATAATCTGTTCTCCTACATGAAAAGGGGCAGTTATGCTGTGCTTGGGTGGAGCTGTGGTTGGGGCTACATCCTTTGGGATGTTAAAGACAAGGTTGTGAGTTAGAACAAAAATAGTCCTTTCTTATCTAGCCAAAGATCGCAGGACATTTTGGGCAAGTGTTGGCCATTAAAAATTTCATTGTGTGACTGTTTCTGAGAGTCCGGAATTAATGTGGCATGGCTGAAATCAGTTTTTTTTTATGAGGTAAAAGTAATTTATTAACCTGTTTGGATTTCTGGCCTCCACAGGTTGGCAGCCTCGATGGTTTGTTCTAGATAATGGAATCCTGTCCTACTATGACTCACAGGATGATGTCTGCAAAGGGAGTAAAGGAAGTATAAAGATGGCGGTTTGTGAGATTAAAGGTGAGGAGCCACGGGGCTCTAGAGTCTGCGTCAAATGAGGGAAATACGTGTGTGCTGACCGTCTTCTTATTTTCAGATCCTCTTTTTAAGGCATCGAGGATAGCGTTTAACAGTATTACCAGTATTACCAGTATTGATATTCCCCCCTCTGTAAATGTTTCCTGCGTTGAAGCTTCTCATGCTTTTTCCTGTTAGACTTGATAGATCATGTCTTGTAGTGTCTAGATACTTTCTGTTTCACCCTCGTGGAAAGATTTCAGAAAGGTCGAAGCTGAGCTCTGTAGATGAAGCAGGCCGTCTCTGTGGGGTCTTGATAAAGTGCAGAGTAGAAGTTAAAAGCTTGGCGACTTGCTGACTGCAGCTGAGCGTTTGTGGGTAACACAGATGGTTTCCTTTTCTTCCAAAAGGGGAATAATAGAGTAGTAGGTCCCGGTCTGATTTTCCTGGAGACGTGAAAACACACATACCATGTGTGGCTGAGGTGTGGGGATGAGGGTGGGTAGAATGAGATCAGATAGAGTGATAATGAGGAGATTTCGGTTCTTAAGGGGAGCCGAAAGGGACACGGCACCGGAGGAATTAATGTTTAGTCCCCCCAGGCCTTTTTCATGTCCCGTCACTTGAGTTCTTCAGTCCTGCATGAGGGCTTGCTCAAAGCCACCAAATACCCAGAGGCATCCTCTTGTCCTGTCTATTTGCTTATTTGAGATTAATGCAGTGAGCTACATTTTCCAGGGCTAGAGTCTACTTTGGCATGATTTTATGGTAATTCTAAGTAAGATAAGCCAAGGAGGGAAGAAAGGTTTCCCCTTCCTTCTTTCCTTCTTCCCTCCCTTCTTCCCTCCCTTCTTCCCTCCCTTCTTCCCTCCCTCCCTCCCTCCTCCCTCCCTCCCTCTCTCTCTCCCTCCCTCCCTCCTTCTCTCCCTCTGTGTGTAGCCTAGGCTGGCCTGGAGAGCTTAGAAGAAAGTTTGAGATAGCCTAGTTTTTGTAGTGAGTTCCAGGCCAGCCTCAGCTACATAGTAAGACCTTGTCACAGGCAGACAGATTAATAAGCAAGTAAATGCCAAACAAATGAAAATTAAAGATCTGCTATAATCCACCTCCCTGTATTGAACTTGGTATTTAATTTCTCTGAGGAATGCTTTGTATTTGGGTTTAGTGATCTCGTTGGTGTGGCCCCCATCTACCAACCCCTTCTCCCGGAAGTGATATTTTGGAAACATCATTTTTTAACTGTCTTTGCTCAGATGGCAGTGTTGAAATTCTAGTGTGAGTAAGTGAGTCGTCTGTTTTACTGTCATATGCTGGCATTGCTTTGGTACCATGGCCACCTTGGGTGTTAGGGAGATGGTGGTTTCCACGGTGCCTCTGGGGCTTCTCAGAGAGTGGCCCTGGTTGTGTTGGGTGTCCTGGTTTAAGTCTGTGCAGCCTCTCATACTACGTGGTGTGACCCCTCCAAATGCTTTGAGTCTGTAACTGTCTTCCTTCTTTGTGTCATCGCAGTCCACCCAGCGGACAACACAAGAATGGAATTGATCATTCCAGGAGAGCAGCATTTCTATATGAAGGCAGTAAATGCCGCCGAGAGACAGAGGTGGCTGGTCGCCCTGGGGAGCTCCAAAGCGTGTCTGACTGATACTAGGGCTGCGAAAGAGAAAGGTGATTTTTACAGGTTTCCTGTCCTAACGGCTTTCTAGGCATAAATGAGCCTGTCCACTCTCCGTAAGTAACCAGAAGGAAAGTAGTAATTTAGAAGACTTATATCAGTAGATCGCCATAGTAAGAACTCTGTAAACAACTTGAAGGTCTAAGTTTAGGAGAATCAGTTGGTAAGCTAGTGCTTCAGTCAGCTGATACATTCTGAGGCCAGTAAAGTGTTTGCAAGGGAGTCTAGTGGTGTGGGAAACTGTGGTTAAATGGCCGTTGATAAAGCAGGAGGACAAGGACCTGAGTTCAGCGCCCGGCGCTCATGTCAAGAGCCAGTTATGGTGGCTCATGCTTATAATCCCAGCCTGATGAGCTAGAGACCAGAGGACCCCTGAGGCTCACTGGACAGCCAGCCTAGCTTACTTTTGGAGCTCCAGGTCAGTGAGAGACCCCATCTTAAAAAGGGGGACACTCTTCCAGAGGCTGACTCTTGAGCTTGTGCGTTTGTATACATGTATGCATATAAAGAATTTTTAAAAGTTAAAAACAACATTAAGTTAGTTTAGTGAAAACACTGAATTGTAGGTGATAGAAAATGCAGGAATTTATAATGTTATTCAGCTATATTAAAGAAATTATTGATAAAGTGTGGCTAAGATTAGGATAAGAAGTAGCCAAAAGATAGGCTCAATCCAAATTTCTAGAGCTACCTGAATAAATAAACAGATGTGGTGCCTGTACAGTGGAATATTATTCATCCTTAAGGGAAGGGAATTCTGGCACATGCTACAACATGATAACTTTAATGACATGTCTGAGTGAAATAAGCCTGTCGCAAAAAGAGAAGCACTGATTGCACTCATTTCACATAATAAGGGTCATGAGATTTCTATAGACAGAAAGGAGAATGGACCCAAGTGGTGATGCACACTCAGTTAGGATTCTGAGGCAGGAGGATTTTGAGTTTGAAGCTAGTTGTGGCTACATAATGAGACTGTCTAAATAGGTAAATAAAGTAGAAAAAAGAAAGTAAAGTAGAAAAAAAAAAGAAAGTAAAATATTGGTGTTAGTGCCTACGTGGAGGAGGCACAGGTTAGTGTTTAGTGGGTACAGAGTTTCTGTTGGGAAAAATAAAAATATCTAGGTGAACAATGGTCATGGTTGCACAGCATTTGAATGTTCTTAATATCACTGAACTGTACACTTAAAAGGATAAACTAGTGCTGTGTATAATACACACACACACACACACACACACACACACACACACACACACACACACTTTTAATGGAGTGGGCTGGAGAGGTGGGCTCAGTGAATGAAGTGCTTGAGAGCTGGAGTGTGGACTCCAGAATCCACATAAAAAGAATCTTACCTACTGATGGGTGTGGCTGCCTGCTATGTGGATGCAGGAGACTGCAGAGGCAAGCCAGCTAGCTAGACTGGCTGAATGGGATGCTCCAGGCTGAGTGAGAGACCCTGCTTCCGTTAATAAAGTAAAAGAGAAATCAAGGAGAGGCGCCTGATGTCAGCCTCTGGCCTTGACATCTGTGCACCCGTGTGTGCATGGTACCACACACATGTGCAGCACCCCCTGTACCCTCCCAAGAAGAGGAATGCACGTGAATTTGCACAAGAATTGGTTTAGGTCAGTGCAGAGTGCTGCTCTGCTGTGTTTTCTGCCAGGAAGCAACAGCACCCCTGGCCTGGCTCAGCCTCTTCTGAAAGACCAGCATCTGCTATGTGGCCGCTGTTTTCCTTCCTCCGCAGCTTTTATGTCTACTTTAAAAGATAATGGCCGGTGAACAGCTGAGATGCTGGCTGGAAATGTAGTTTGTCCAGAGTCACTAAGGAGAAGAAAGTGAGTGCTGTATTAAAAATTCCAAGAACAGTTAAATGTGAAAATGGAACCCAAAGGAAGAGAATTAATAGATGTTTCCGTGGAGTAGCTTTTCTTACCTAAAAGCCAGCAACTTCTATATGCTAAAACATACAGTGAAGAAAACTAGGGGGAGCTGATAGGTAGAGAAGCATTTGTGTTACATAGGTAGATGAAATACTGTCTTTAATATACTAAAATTTTAACATTGCCGGGCAATGGTGGCGCACGCCTTTAATCCCAGCACTCAGGAGGCAGAGGCTTGTGGATCTCTGTGAGTTCGAGGCCAGCCTGGGCTATAGAGTGAGTTCCAGGAAAGGCGCAAAGCTACACAGAGAAACCCTGTCTTGGAAAAAAACAAAAACCAGAAAACAAAAAAAACTTTAACATTATCAATCTATATATTAAAAGTAAAATTAATATTAGAGCTGGAGAAAAATGTGTATAAGAAAAAGACAAAAGCTATCTCCCAAGAGTAGAAATGCAGGTTTCACAGGGGAGAAAATTAGTAATGGAGTGGAAATGCTGGGTGTTAAAACGCCCAGTGACCAGGCTAATAGGGTGTCTCAGTGATTAGAGACGCTCATGCACAAGCCTGGTGACCTGAGTGCAGTCCCTGGGTCTCACAAGGTGGCAGGAGAAGCAGCAACTTCTGAGATAAGTCTTCTGCCCTCTCCACGTGTGTCCTGACATGTGCTTGTGTGTGTCACACACACACACACACACACACACACACACACACACACACACACACACAACGCACACGCACATTCTCTCTCCCTCCCCTCCCCATCCCTAAACAATGTAAAATTAAGTAAATAAATAACAATCATCACTTACCTATGGAAATCAGCCTGCATAAACTTCATAGCAGACGTGTGACGATCAGTTGTCTCTCCTGAATTATGTAAAGAGGAAGAAGTATTTCTTAGGGTCTTATGATTCCGTTTCGAAGATTTCTCATCTCAAGCTGTAACACAATTTGTGTTTGTTGCCTGTGTGCATATGTGCGTGCGTGCGTGCATGTTGTGTGTGGGCACGTGGACATGTGGAGGCCAGAGGCTTATCTTGGAAGTGCTCCTTGGCTGTTCTCCACCTTATTTTTCTAACAGGATCTTCAGCTGAACCTGGAGCTCAAGGATAGGGGTACACTAGCTGGCCAGTGAACCCCAAGGGTCCTGCAGCCTTCACCTTCCCAGTGCTAGGGCTACAGACCACCCCTGGTATTGGTGAAATTATTAAGGCCACTCCACGTAGTTAAAAGGAGATTTATTTAATGGCGTAACTTACAAATTAAGGGATAGGTAGGTCGCGGGGTCTGGGGAAGGTGTATCGCAGTCCAGCGGTGTTCTCTGAAGCTCTGCTTGGCCCACCTCCACAGTCCAGGGTCCCCGGAACCGAGTGAGAGCGCAGTCCATCCAGATCTCGGGTCTCCAGGCGCCTCCCTTGGCTCCGCCTTTTTTGGCATGACAGTTGCCGAAGTCTGAGTGGGGCTTGGAACTTCCAGATCAAAGCTGGAATGGCTACCCACTACACCCTGGGCCCAACATGTGTATGTGGGTTGTAAAGATCCACCTTTGGTCCTCAGGTTTATGCATCAAATGTGTTGTCGACTGAGCCTTTTCCTTAGCTTCTGTTGTCTGCTTTTAAAACGGTTGTTTTATTGTAATACCAAAGAATATGAAAATGATGTAATTGGATATTGGTGTGTGTTTCTTTTAGAAATAAGTGAGACCAGTGAATCTCTGAAAACCAAAATGTCTGAACTTCGCCTCTACTGTGACCTCCTAATGCAGCAGGTTCATACAATCCAGGAATTTGTTCACCACGACGAGAGTCATTCATCTCCCAGTGTAGAGGTACTGCAAAGGGGTCCCATTTGCTTGGGATCAGACTGCACCCTCTACCGCCCTGGGGGTATCCTTCGCCACTCCATAGGATGATGGAAAGGTCATCACAGAGTTCCTTCCGTGCAGTTGTTCAGAGCTTCCTGCTGTAGCCTCCACAGGGCTCTCTGAAATCTGTCTCTGTGCTAGAGGCAAGCATCCAAGCAGCTGGAGTCTCCAGGGAGTCAGGGCTTGTCTCTGCAGCCACTCAGTAGTTTGGAGATGAGGCTTAGGAAGAAGCGTTCTGGCCTTTGTTCTCTGGGCCAGTTGCATGAGTACAGTAGATAACTTCTGGTTTGTTTTTTTTTCTTTTAGTGATAAGGTCTTAGCTTCAATTTAATTTTTTCACTTGATTCTCGGGATGTGCCTGATTTCATGGTTGAGTATGAGTCTGCTCAGTCTTCATTTGTGATTTTCCAGAACATGAATGAAGCCTCTTCCTTGCTTAGTGCCACCTGTAATACATTCATCACAACCCTGGAGGAATGTGTGAAGATAGCAAATGCCAAGTTTAAACCTGAGATGTTTCAACTGCCTCATCCGGATCCCTTGGTTTCTCCTGTGTCGCCTTCTCCTGTTCAGATGGTTGGAACTTCTTGTTTTTATTCTAGGAATATAAATGTATTTACACTAAATTAAAATGAATTGTTTTGTGGTGTGAGTGTATTGTTTGTGTGTTGTGTGTGTGTGTGGTGTGTGTGTGCATGTGCTTGTGCATGTAGATTGGAGTTCATTGTCAGGGGTGTTCTGTTGCTCTCTTTCTATCTTACGTTTTGAGACTCTCTATCTTACGTTTTGAGACAGAGTCTCTCACTGAACCTGGAGCTCATCAGTAGTCTAGACGGGTGAGCTCTGGGCATCAATTTCCTTCCCTGTATGTGGTTACAGATACACACCCCCATGCCTGTCTTCTTCCCTGTATGTGGTTACAGATGCACACCCCCATGCCTGTCTCCTTCCCTGTGTGAGGTTGCAGATGCACACCACCATGCCTGTCTCCTTCCCTGTGTGGGGTTGCAGATGCACACCACCATGCCTGTCTCCTTCCCTGTGTGGGGTTGCAGATGCACACCCCTATGCCTGTCTCCTTCCCTGTGTGAAGTTGCAGAGTGCTGATGATCTGAACTCAAATCTTTAGGGGCAGGCACTTTACCGACAAGCCACAGTCTCAACCTCTCTTCTTTTTCTTTTCTTTGTAAGAGTGGAAATGGGAAGTGGGGAGGGTGTAGTCCACAGATTGAATTGCTTTTGTCTGTGCTGGTAATGGGTCCTCTCAGCTGCGGAGCTCAGCACATGCAGTAATGCCTTGGTCTCTCCACTTTGAAGGGCCTGAGAATGGCCTGCCCTGCCCTTGTGTCCAGAAGGTGTTATATATAGTCTGTGTTGCAGGAGAGGCACACCTGTGTGCTTGATAAAAGCTTTGTAATAGAGTGATGTTTGACTCCGGAGGGGTACTGTTAAAGCTTGAAATGTCCAGTGAGAACTCTTCTGCAGTCAGCATTTGTATTTGAATTCTGAGTAGGAAAGTTACTTAACTGCTCTGGCTCTTCATCCGTGGAATGTCTTCTGTGTCAGGAGGTCATTGTGAAGGATCTGAGCCGTTTCATGGGAGGTGCTTAATGTTAGCTTCTTGATTACTCTGCACACCAAGACCTCTTTGCTGGAGGTGGTGAACTCCCTGTGCTTTTCCTGCTATTCAGTTTGCTCTGGCATGCCGTGAGGAGCCTCTGCTGAGATAAGGTTTGCGAGCATGGCGTTGTTTTCCTTGAAGTATGCTCAGGAGCCTGTTGGTAGGAGGAGGCACGCATCTGGCTGTTTTCACCATTCCTGGATGAGCCTGGTGAGAAGAGGGCCCAGCTCACTCCTGTGTTCTCCCAACCACCCAGAGAGTTCAGTTGTACAGAGGGAGTAAGGGCATGGCCTACAGTTATTTAAGACTTGTCTTCATCGATGAACATTGGACTGATAGAGTCTGTAAAGTAAGTATTTTGGTCAGATGAACTAGGGAAGTTTCCATTGATTTAGTGAAGGAGGTTTTTCTGTCTCAATCTAGCAAGGATCCTTTGCTAGGATTTCTCAGCCCCTCTTTCATGCTGAGCATATCGTAGGGGCCAGAAGTAGGGTGTCAGATCCCCTGGGAACTGGGTTACAGGTGGTTGTGAGCTACTTGGTGTGGGTTCTGGGAAGCAAACTCAGGTCCTGTCTGTGAGCAGCGTTCACACAAGCTGCTGAATGCTGAGCCGTCTCCCCAGTCCCTCGGAGGGAAGTTACTGTGAAAGAGCGTGTAGTGTCAAGCTGCATCTTCATACCATCCTGTAGCCTTTGGACTAGAAATACCTGTCATCACTTCAACTGGACTCCCGTCCGCTGGCAGCTGAAGGTGCACATTCAGAAGGCATTTATACAGCATGGTAGATGTGGGCCCATGTATGTAAAGCGTGCTAAAACTTTAGTATGACAGCGTCTCTGTTACCTTGTTAGGCTGAAATAATGGTTTTCCTTGGGCTGCCCTCTAGTTTTTGGTGGACAAGTTGGATCTTCTAAATTATGTTTTGTGTTCACCATATTTATTATACATTCTGCTTTTTCCTTTTAACATGTCATTTCTACTTTCACAGTTTCAAGGCTTGGTCTTACCTGTGTATGGTGGGCAAACACTCCCTGAGCTTATATCCTCAGCCTGTTGGTTGCTTAAATAAATGCTTTAGAAACCTACTTGAGGTTTAGGGTTTTTCTGAGTTCTTTAGAGACTAGACTTACTATTGTTGCCCTCCATGAAAGCTGCACTCACAGGAAGCTGCCTGAGTGGAGTGGCAGAGAGAAGCTTTATCGCCACATTCTACTTGTACTCTTTAGAACATGGAGAAAAGGACATTTGTTAAGAGTATTTTCTGGTTTGCTAGATACTCTTTTTTATTATTAAAAATGACTTAGATTAGTTATGTATATACTATTCTTTATGCTTTATCATATTATGTAACACACACATAGATAATTAGAAGCTTATTTTTTGCGGTATATGTTGAGAAATTTTCAGTTAATAGTTATTAGAGAGAAAGTTTGACATTGTGTTTAGGTTGTTCCTTGAGTCCGTAAGAGATAAATGTCTTGTCCAGGCATCTGTTTCTCTGAATCAATTTGTGTTAATTTTGATAATAAATTGGAGGTGCATTATTCTCTTTGACTAAACATTGAGCTAAGGTCTTTTCTTTTCTTCTCTTTTCCATTTCTAGATGAAGCGTTCCGCCAGCCACCCTGGTTCCTGCAGTTCAGAGAGGTAGACTCACCATTTCTTCTGACTAAATTCTGTCTGGATGATGCTTCCTTGGGGGAGTTCTTGAGGCCCACACCAGCCATTGTGGACGCCAGCTCTGTGGAGTGGGCCTGTTTGGTTTGGGTTCTCACAACAGCTTTCTGTGTATTGCTTGTTAGTTCGTGTGTCAGGGGCTGAGTTCAGAAAGGGCTGAGGAAAGGAAACTTACATGTCTGGATTAACACAAAGCTGGCGCCATGCCTGCTGTCGTGGCTCTGGTTTTTTGAAATAGATCCAGAAATTCGTCCACAAGTGTAAGCCAATGAGAAGACTCAGTAGGCAAATGTCCTTGCCACCAAACAATACATTTTGCTTAAAAAAATTAATGAAATAAATCAAGTGGCTAGAGAGAAGAGAGAAGTTTGTATTTGAGTGTTCACAACTGAGGACGTTTTATCTCAGCTCTTTATAGTACCATGTGTTCATGCCGGGCGGTCACTGAGAAAGAGCTCACACAAAGAGAGAAAGCCGTATTCATATCAATACTGTAAAAAGTCCCCCTTCCAGGTGGGCCCTGCCAGTGTCCGAGCTCCTGGCGCCCTGCACGTCACTAGACGTGCTCTCCTCAGTCGCTAGGCTTGTCCTCTTGTTCTTTGGAAAGTGATGAAATTAATTTTCTTCAGCATCTCTCTCTATGCTGACTATTAAGTACTGAGCCTTTTCCTCCGGTAATTACATAATCCTTGTTGAGTTGATCTGCTCAGAGTAAACCAGTAACTTATATATACCCAGCTCTGTCAGGGTCTAAAGCATTTTAACAGCTGAACTTTACAGAGTAGTGGAAGCTAAGTCATTTGGCAACAAACATTTATTTTGGTGATAGAAAGACAAGGTTTCTAAGCTGTATTTTGTCCTTTGTTCCTTGGACAATAAGTTGTAAAAAGGCTAATAAGTAATATTTTTCTTTGATGTTGAGCCATCATAAAACAGAAGCTGAGGTGCTGTTAGGTGGTAGTGATTTGCTTCTGGGTTTGCATGGTTAGACTGGAAGGTGTAGGAGCCAGTACTTTTTTTTTTTGGTTTTTTGAGACAGGGTTTCTCTGTGTAGTTTTGGTGCCTGTCCTGGAACTCACTGTGTAGACCAGGCTAGCCTCAAACTCACAGAGATCCGCCTGGCTCTGCCTCCTGAGTGCTGGGATTAAAGGCGTGCGCCGCCAGTGCCCAGCTGGAGCCAGTGCTCTTAACTGCTGAGCTGTCTCTCCAGCTCCTAGACTGATTTTTAAAAACACTTGTTTTGGTGACAGGGCCTTATGTAGCACAGGCTGGCCTCAAAACTGGACATAGTCCAGCATGCCTCATCCTAATCCTTTTGCCTTGACCCCCTCAGTGCATGGGGTAAGGTGTGAGCCAGCAGGCCTGGTTAATGCAGTGCTGGGGGTTCAGACTCAGGGCTTTGTGCATGCTACATAAACACCCTACCCACTAAGCTCCATAGCCATGAGAGTTGTTTTTTTCCAGCCTCCATTGCACCATTTTTACCTTCTGTCTCTGCTGTCAGTGAGTTTACATCTGAACATTTCTAAACTCTTGGCGTCCGCCTCCCGTCTGCTCTGTCGTCAGGTAAAGGTTGACATTAGACATAGGCACTTGTGTAGCCTGTGACAGTTCTCAGATATTTGCACACAACTTCTGTCAACTGCCTCACTGGCCCCTCGCCCTAGAAGCATGTCTTCGGACTCCTTTCTCATTTAGAACATGGCCTCTGAGTTGCTGCCTGCGTTCCAGGCAGACCCAGTTGCCTGCACACTTCCCTTCTGAGTGAGTAGCATGTTGCTAATTAACGTAAGAGATTCAGCGTCAGAAGAGTTTCTCACTTGGTTTTTCGAGACAGGGTTTCTCTGTGTAGCCTGGACTGTTGTGGAATTTGCTATGTAGACCAGGCTGGTCTCAAACTCACAGAGATCCTCCTGCCTCTGCCTCCAGAGTGCTAGGATTGTAGGTGAGCACCACCACGCTTGGCCTTAAAGGGAAGCCATTTAAAATCGCAGTCAAGAAAGGGTCTTTTCATTGTTCAATGCCCACAGCTTAACGCTTTTTATTTAACGTGCAGGAGCAGCTGCTCCATCAAAGAAGCGGCCTCCTCCCTTCACCGACCTCAGCGACGCCACAGAACCTACTCGGACACAGACTCCTGTAATGACGTGCCCCCTGAAGACCCAGAGAGTGAGTTCCACAGTTTCTGTCTCTTCGGCCACTTCAGCACAACTACCCCAGGTTCTTGTAGTTTCTGGGACTGAAATACACTGTCATTGGAACACTGTACTTTGCTCTTCGGTGAATTCCTCAGAGAGAAGTGAACCCCCCCACAGCCCACAGCTGCTCATACATTCTCTCTCCAATAGCTTTGTTATTCTGTTAAGAGGTGCTGGAGATCATTGGTAGATACTTTATCTTGGAGACAGGTTTATTGACTATGTCTTTATTACCACAACGTTTCCATTTCAAAGTATTACAGAAAAATCATTACTTGTAGGTAGAATTCTAGAGGAAATAAAGGTCAAAAATCAGGAAAATCAGCTATGCTAAATTATTTATCTGCCTTAAAATGGCTAAAGAAAGTAGTAATCTTGTGTGGTTTTGACAACACTGATCCCTGTACCTTTCTCCCCTGTTGTTAAGATTTGTGCTTTTCTCTAAGGAGCAGGGTCTTTCACAGTGTGTCAGGGTGTAACTCACTTGATTGCAAGGACCGTGGTTTCCAGGGAACACAGATGTCATTTTACGCTGACATCTCAGTGAATAGACTGTCACCTGTTAGAGTCCTTACCTCCCGTGGAGCATGTGGGAGAGTTCACTGGAATGTGGATCTGATTTCCCTGCCGAAATGACACCATACATGGTGGTTCGTGTCTCCAGACAGCCAGGTCAGAGAGGGAGATGAGCCAGCAGTGCTAGCCTTTTCTTACTTACCCAGACTCTTAGGCAGGCTCCGGTGCAGGAGGATGTGGTCTTGCTGCCAATGCAGATGATTCCAAACACAGCCGTTTTGGCCACTTTCAAATACATTTTTTAAAATTTACTTTTTCTTCTTTTAATATATTCGCGTGTGAAGCATATGTGGATTTACATGTGTGAGGCGGGGCAGGGCAGGGTTGAGTTGGTAATCTTACATTACTCTTTGCTTGCTTTCTTTTTTGGGAGAAGGGACATGTTTTGAGACAGGGTTTCTCTGTGTAGCCCTGGCTGTCTTGAACTCACTCTGTAGACCAGGCTGGCCTTGAACTCACAGAGATCCGCCTGCCTCTGCCTCCCGAGTGCTGGGATTAAAGGCGTGCGCCACCATGCCTGGCAGACAAATTTTTTTGAGACAGTATCATGTAGCCCAGGTTGGTCTTGATTTGAACTCTGCATTGGAGGTTGACTGAATTCCTGATCGTCCTGCTTCTGCCTCCTGACTGCTGGGATCACAGACAAAAATCACACCATGCCTGATTTATTCTGAACCCAGGGCCTCCTGAGTGTTGTCTGCCACTGAGCTCCCACTCTGGTCCAGCCAAAACTTGTTACATGACAATACTCTTCTTGTAAGGTGCTTTTGGTTTTGAAAATTTGCTTTTGAAGATCAGAAAAGTAAAACAATACCAGGTGTGGTGGCTCTTGGGAGGCGGATTGTTGTGAGTTTGAGGTTGGTTGGGGGTGTATCCTGAATTCTAGGCCACCCTACCCTAGGCTGTAGACTGAGACGTTGTTGTCTCAAAGCAGGAAGCCTAAGAAAGTAAGTAAATAAATAAATACAATAAAAGAAAACCAAGGAGCAGGGGAGCCTTGGTAAATTCAAGCAGCCTGTGGAAGTGTAACTACTCTGGAATGGGATGCTACTAGGCTCTGTCCCCCTTAGCTTCACTGGCAGCTGTGAGCCATGTGGAAAGGAGAACTTCCCACATAAGAAGTCTTGCTAGCTTTGCTCAGAAAGGCTCCGTTCTGTGACTAAAGTGTGATCTTGGAAAAATCACATAACGTTTTTTGGGTCTTTGTTCACAGGAAGTTACTAACAGCCTAAGACCATCAGGCTGAAAAAGCAGTAGCTAGGTTAAATTCATTTCAACAGGTTGATGGCACGGAATGTGCCAGCCTTGCTTCTGGCAGTGTCCAAAACAAATCCCTGCCTCGGCGAATGACATCATTTCTCTCAGGGACACTGAAGTTTCTCCTAACAACTCTCAATGGTAGGAAAACGAGTTTCTCTGTCAGATGAGCAAAGGAAACTGGTAGAATTTTGTTTCTCTGAACAGACCCGAGATGTTCTTTCACATCTAGAGTCAGCCTGGAGTCAGCAGTGCTTAGATGTTTAACTTGCCAATCACTTTTCACAGGCCCTCTTCACTGTTCAGGAAACACCCTTAATGGAGATTTGGCCTCAGCAACCATTCCTGAAGAAGGCAGACTCATGGCCACGCCACAGTCTGAATCTGAAGAACCTCTTCCATCCCTCTCTTGAGGAAACGGACACATCCAGCCTCCTCTGAGTGTTGCTATGCAAAAGCTGCTGTATTAAACTCGTTCTGGGGTAGCTTCCCCTACTTAGGATTTCTCTGCACTTTATAGAATATTGTAAACAAACAACCCACATACTTTTGAAGTGTATTTTATCTTTCTATAGTTTACTTGCAAGAGTATTTTCCTAATGACTTCACAGTATGAATGTGCATCTTTTCTTTCTTTTTTTTTCTTTTTTAAAACAAATGATGGTGTAACATTTTGACATCCATAAGGACAAATGTAGATATTTTTCTAAAAAACTGTGAGGGACTGACAGCTTGGTCAGTGTGTATTGTAGTATATGAACATGAAATCTCGCCAGGTTTGTTTGACAGAAATGTGATAGATGTAACTTGTGCCATGGACCAAAAGGTCACATCACCCCAGCTTCAAATTAATTACCATAGCAGCTTGATGGTGATTGGATCACATTCCTTTAAGCAAAAAAGGAAACACTTAATATTCTAAAGGTCTTTAGCCCAAATGCCATGACATATTGAACATTTTAAAAAGGAATCAGACTCTACTGTACTTCATATGTGAAGTTGACACTACTGATTTGTCAATATCAAACATCAGGTTACAGTGTTTAATTTTTATTTATTTATTTTCTTACTGCATCAGAAGATGATTATGTCCTAACTTTTATGATCTCCCCAACTTAAAATGTATATGCATTGTTGTTATTTACATTGTTCTAAGCGAGGCAAATGTCTCAGTGACCTTGTTCACTTACACCAGAGAAATAAATGGCTTTCATTGGAAGAGGATTTTAGTGCTTTTTTTTTTTTTTTTTAAAGTAGGCATTAAGCTGCTGTTGTAAGATTTGCTGTATGATTTGCAGCTCTTTGGCATACCTAGAAACATTTTTAATTTATAAATATTTATACAAAAGAAGTAATCCTGTCAAGATGACTGTTCTATATCACTTGAGAATGGCATTATTTAATTAAAGGACAATTTGCATTTTTTGGTGGTGCCTGTCATATCTATTATCAGGGTTTGCCCTGGAATGTGTTTTTCTTTCAGGTCACTTTGGGGTGACGGTCTTATCCCAGAGTTTGAATGAGCAGCACTTTAACAAAAATTGGCCTCGTGTTTTTAAGTTAGTCATATTTAATAAGTATGTGGTTTTTACATTCAAATTCATCATCTAATACATTGTATCTTTTACATTCATTAATAGATATTAATGAATTAGATATTCTGTCTAGTCTTTATTAAATGCCTTTAGTGTTCTTTATTGGTTTTTATTTTGTTTCAGTGTTCAGGCCTAAGGTGAACATATATCAATCATATATTTAGCTTATGTATCCTATTAGTTTAGATGGTAGCCAAATATTTTATATTTACTAAAATAAGTCTGTACTTTTCCCTAAGTTTAAAGTGATTATACACATTGGTATGTATTTCATTTAACTGCTTCTAAAAGTGCTCGTCATTTAAAATAGCAAATGGGTCATTAGAGCATTCTTTGTTCAGTGGAATCAGCCCCCTCATAACTTGTATTTAATATATTCAATTTGGAAAAATTCGGTGATGTAGTAAGTTTTCATACTGATTAGGCGGTCAGTCTCTCTTCTTTTAAACCATATGAACTTGCAGACTGTGGTCTACTGATAGTTTTTCTGGAGGTGTTTCCCCATGATGGTGACAGGTTTATAATGAAAGTACTAAAATAAGCTTTTGAAGTTGTAGGAAAATAGGAAGTTCCATTTTCTATTGCTTTACCCAAGTAGACAAGCTTGTGAATGATTCCTTTGTAAATATTTTAAGAACAGGATGTTTTTAGTTTGCATTCTGCCCCCTCTGCATATACACACTTGAAGCAGGAGCTTTGGTAGGTACACCATCTCCCTGAAAACACGACCTTGGAGTCCTTTGTCCTGGCCCCACACACTTGTAGAATGAGTTTTTTGAGGGCATATATCTTGATTTATATGTAGATGTTGATTTTTTTTTTGCTTTTTGAGACAGGGTTTCTCTGTGTAGTTCTGGTACTTGTCTGTAGACCAGGCTGGCCTCGAACTCACAGAAATCCGCCTGGCTCTGCCTCCCAGAGTGCTGGGATTAAAGGCGTGTGCCACCACCACCCGACTTGAATTTTTATTTTCTTTGAAGTTTTTATTGTGTTGCTCAGACACAACCTTAGCTCCTAGGCTTCAGGGTTCCCTCTGCCTCAGTCTCTAGGCTGTCTGGGACGATGGTTATCTACCCCTGGCTTCTGTCAAGGTTTTAATCCATGAATGAAGTAAATTATGAAGCTTAAGGGAATCTTGCATTTTGAGGATGAATTGTGCCTGACATTTCTGGATTTTAAGAAAACAAGAAGTAAAGAACTACTCTGTAAGAACTTTGGCTTATTGGTCATGGATTATCTTTTGCTTAGGTCTAGGGCATGAATATTGACATACTTGGAGACTCTTGACTTCTAAGCAAAAAAGGACTTGCTTTTCATTTCTGGTGCCTGTTCCCTCTGTGTTTGCAGAGTTTCTAAGATTAGTGGGATCTTGAGAATTGTTCTGTAAATCTGAATTTTGTTATGTCATCCTAGCGATGAAACACCATGACCAAAAGCAGCTTGGGGAGGAAGGGGTTTATTTAGCTAACGCTTCCATATCACTGTTAATTGAAGGAAGTCAGAACAGGAAGTTAAACAGGGTAAGAACCTGGAGGCAGGAGCTGATGCAGAGGCCATGGAGGGGTGCTGCTTACTGGTTTGCACCCTATGGTTTGCTCAGCTTGCTTTCTTACAGAACCCAGGACCACCAGCCCACGGATGCACCACCCACGATGGGCTGGGCCCTCCCCCACTGATCACTAATTAAGAAAATGCCCTACAGCTGAATCTTATAGAGATACTTTCTCCATTGTGGTTCCCTCCTTTCAGTTGACTCTAGTTTATGAAGTCGACATAAAATAAGCTAGGACAATTGTAGCTAGAGTTTTCCTGGTCCTGCCTGGCCCACAGTCAGGACAAATCTCTCTCACCTGCCAGTCCCGCAGCTGCTTAGACCCAACCAAGTAAACACACAGAGACTTATATTACTTATAAACTGTATGGCCGTGGCAGACTTCTTGCTAACTGTTCTTATATCTTAAATCAACCCATTTCTATTAATCTATAAGTTGCCACGTGGCTCATGGCTTACCAGTATCTTAACATCTGCTTCTCATTGTGGCAGCTGGCAGCGTCTCCCTGCCTCAGCCTTTCACTTCCCAGAATTCTCCTCTCTCCTTGTCCCGCCTATACTTCCTGCCTGGCTACTGGCCAATTAGCACTTTATCAATCAATCATCCACAGCAGACAATTTTGTTGGGTTATTTCCTCAGTCAGGACAAATCCAGAAGTAGATTCTTAGCATAGAATGATGTCCACAAGAAGCCTCCATCGTCATGGCGACACCCTACCTTAAACATTCCGAGCACTCTCAGGAGGCCATTCCCTCAAATCAGCCCTCAGGAATCAGGCAGAATATTTTGTCAGGATGCCCAAGGAAAAGAAAAACGTGTGTTTTGTTTTTACTTTAGGACCCAGTGATACAGTTTCTAGAAAACGCTTTTCTTCACTGCTGCCCCCACCATGACATCCTGGTTCAGGTAAGCATCCTATTTCCTGACTCTTGTAGATGCCAAAAAAGTTTCAGTGTTCAGTGTTTCTAGCCTCAGCTTTCTGAGAGGATGACAAATTGGCTGTACTGCAAATGAGGTTTTTTGTTGTTGTTGTTTTTGGTTTTTTTTTTTTTTTTGGTTTTTCAAGACAGGGTTTCTCTGTGTACCTTTGCGCCTTTCCTGGAACTCACTCTGTAGACCAGGCTGGCCTCGAACTCACAGAGATCCGCCTGGTTCTGCCTCCCGAGTGCTGGGATTAAAGGCGTGTGCCACCACCGCCCGGCAGAGGTTTTGTTTTTTTTAAATGGAATAAACTCAAGGGATTTTTGCTATTGTCTCTGTTTCAGAACAAGCCGCGTCACCCTAAACAAGGACTGTCTCTTGCCCTTTCACTGTAAAATAGGGTTGGCTTTGGGGCTGGGGGCCAGGACAGTGTGGAGCAGCAGACCTGGCTTCCTGAAGGTCCGGGTCTGCAGCTCCCTGAGTGACTTCGGGGCCCGTGCTGGTTAGCGTGGTCAACTTGACACACACTAGAGTCACCTGGGAAGAGGGACCCTCAATCAAGGAACTGCCTCCATCAGGTTGGCCTGTGGCCATGCCTGAGGAGCATTTTCTTGATGAGTGACTGATGTGGGAGGGCCCGGCTCACTGTAGGTGGAACCACCCTTAGGCAGCTGGTCCTGGGTTCAAGAAAGGCAGCTGAGAAAGGCACAGGCATGGAGCTCGTCAGCACCCTTTCTCAGTCGCCTGCCTCAGTTCCTGCCTCGAGCTCCTGCGCCGGCTTCGCTGCATGGATTGTGATCAGGAACTGTAGGCGAAGCAGATCTTTTCTTGCCCTAAGTTGGTTTTGGTCAGCGTTTGTTTTTTTTGTTTTTTGTTCTTCCACTTACAGCCTTCTCTTCCGTGGGTTTCTCCATTGGCTGAGTTCTCCACAAGTGGACTTTGTTTCTACTGACAAGGCAGTTGAGCTGCTTGTGTGCGTGCTAGCCGGATGGGTCTGTTGATGTCACCTCCTCCCACTGGAGTTCTAAGTAGGGAAGTGGGAGTGGAGGGGGGATAGCTGGCTCTCATGGATGTGGATCAAGTTTTGCTGCAGATTGGGCGACTAGTAGGACCTTTGTCCTTACCTGCCCAGGACCTCCAGGCAGATGATGGTGTTTCTTGAGCTGGCGGCTGCCTGCTAGGAGCTGACTTCAGTCATATGCAGCAGTTTTAGGGAAGCGTTCTGACCCTGTGTTCCTCTAAGGCTGTTTGGTACCAAGGCTCCCTTGAGAACCCTGGAGTTGTCCCCTTGAACTCAGGATTTATAACTCTTTAATCCCTAGCAGGAAACCTTAGTCTTTAAGGCTCTGTTGTTTTAGGAACTTCTGGTTTGGGAGGGGCCTCACACAAGGCCTGTTAACAGCCTTTCCCCACTGAGGAAGGACAGGGAATTCAGAGCACCAGGTCCCACAGGGGTTCAGGTGACGTTTGTCACTTCCTCTGCGTCAGGAGGAATCAGGTAGGAATTTCTTTATTAACAGACATCCTGAGGAACAGAGGAAATACTCAGGAACACTCAACGACGTAAAACCAAGTCTTTGTAACCTGCTTTGGGATGCAGATCCCTGGACCAGCCTATGTCCAATGTCCTGTTTCCCAGCAGGCCACTTTCTCCTGATGCAAGGAAACTGGACTTGAGTAGTTGGTCTTTCTTTTGGACTTTCTTGGACCACCATTCTCCAAATAATGACATGGAGACTTACTATTAATTACAAATCTTGGCCTTTAGCTTAGGCTGGTACCCAACTTAAATTAACCTGTTTCTATTAATCTCCATTCTGCCATGTGGCTTTTTACCTCTCCTTCATTCTGTATGTCCGACTCCCTCAGTGTCTCGATGGCATCCCCCAGGTGCCTAGATTCTTTCCAGTTCCTCTCTCCTCAGAAGTCCTGCATATTCTCTCCTGCCTAGCTATTGGCTGTTCAGCTTTTTATTAAACCAATCAGGTGCCTTAGGCAGGCAAGGTAAAACCGTGACACATCTTCACACAATGTAATAAAATATCCCTAAACAGACTTTGCCAATTTTCTTGAAATTATATTTGGTGCTGATATTTCCTTTATCTTCCTGGAGCACAGCTTCAGAACATTCTTACTGCGTTTGGTCACCATGGAAATGGTCATCCAGCTTTTTTAACTGACTGTTTCTGGTTATCTGCTTCCCCACTGCCTTTCTGTTCTACAACCCAGTGCGATTGGACAGAGGACACCGATACTTTGAAAGGTTGCATCAAAATGTTCCTATGAAACTGTGTATATGCCAGTCATTTCTAGGGTTACAACTTGAATTTTGACTCTTCCCCAAACGATATGGT